AGAGAGTGAGGGCTTCGCCGTGACCACAGCTCCGTCTGCCTTCACAGTGCAGCTCCCCACCTCACTGATCATCTCCACAGTGGGGTCACGTGGTCAGTGGGAACAAGTTTTGGGTTTCCTCTGTTCTATCTTAGTTCTTATGTCTTGGCAAAATACTGAAGTTCCACAAACAAGCCAGAGTGTCCACATGCTCTGTCTGAGTACGGCAGCACCTTTGTACTTTGTCAAGTCTTCAGTTGCTACCATCATGGAACTTGTATCGTTCGAACCGACGAAATGACTAAAAGAATTGTTTAAACGAGCCAGCAGTCTAGACCTGTGTAGGTGAATGAAGAAACACTTGAAAGTCAGAAGGAGAAAAAAAAGTTACTTGGGACCAGAGCAATCGTACAGCAGGTAGGACGTTTGCCTTGCACACAGCTGACCTGGGTTTGATCCCTGGTATCCCATATGGTCCCCCAGGCACCACCAGGAGTAATCGCGGAGAGGAGAGCCAGGAACAACCCCTGAGCATGGTGGTTTGGCCCATAAACATAAGCAAAAGGAAAAAAAACAAAACTGAACATTTAGGATTAGCAAACACTGTTGGATTTCCATAACATACTTCATTCCTGATTTCATCTGTAAGAGATATGATTACGACCCTTTCAAAAACAATGGTCAATTCCCCAAAATTTAGAAATTTAGCTCCCATTTGACCCAGCAATACCATTCCCGGGAATATATCCCAGAGAGGGAAACAAGCATAGCCGCAGTGACATCTGCACTTGTTTGTTCATTGCAGCACTCTTTACAATAGACAGAATCTGGAAAAAACCTGAGTGCCCGAGAACAGATGACTGGTTAAAGAAACTTGGTACATCTACACAATGGAGTACTATGCAGCTGTTAGAAAAGATGAAGTCATGAAATTTACATACAAGTGGTACTACATGGAAAGTATCATGCTAAGTGAAATGAGTCAGAAAGAGAGGGACAGACATAGAAGGACTGCATTCATCGGGGGAACATAAAGTAACAAACAAAATAGGAGACTAACACCCAGGAATAGCTGAGGTAAGTACCAGGAGGTTTACTCCATGGCTTGGAGGCCAGCCACACATGCTAGGGGAAAAGTTAGCTCAGATAGAGAAGGGAGCACCAAATAAAGGATTTTGGGAGGATCCTCCCAGGATGGAGGATGCATGCTGAAAGTGGACTATAGACCGAACATGATTGCCACTCAATGCCTCTTTTGCAAACCACAGCACCCAAAAGGAGAGAGAGAACAAAGGGGAATGCCCTGTCACAGAGGCAGGGTGGGATGGGGGACATAGGGGGTGGGAGGGATACTGGGATCCGTGGTGGTGGAAAATGGGCACTGGTGGAGGGATGGGTACTCGTTGTATACCTGAAACCCAAGCACAGAAATCTGTAAGTCTACAACTGTACCTCATGGTGTTTCACTAATAAAAGTTTTTTTAAAAAATGGCATCTTATAAATATTCTGGCAATTTATGGAAAATTTATTAATTTAGTTGCAAATTATTATGGCATTTGGGCTGGAGCGATAGCACAGCGGGTAGGGCGTTCGCCTTACGAGCGGCCAACATGGCTGACCCGAGTTCGATTCCTCCGCCCCTCTCGGAGAGCCCGGCAAGCTGCCGAGAGTATTGGATATGCCAGACACAGTAACAACAAAGTCTCCAATGGAGACGTTACTGGGCCCGCTCGAGCAAATCGACGATCAACGGGAGGGCCTTTACCTTTACCTTTACCTTATTGTAGGTGACCTGTTACTCATTCAACTGATAATGTGTTCCCCTCTCAGTGTTTATTAATATTATAGATGCTTCATTCAAGAAACTCACTACCTGCAACCCGCGAAGAAGCAAGGCTTTGTGGGTCCTGAATTTTATATAGTTTACTAAAACCCTGCTTAAAAAAATAAATGAAATGTAAAATTATGAATATAAAAATTGCTGGGATCTTCCCCGAGATCTTGCAAGTAAGGTTTGGAGTTCAGCTTCCTCATCAATTCACCTCAGCTGGGCCTGTTTTCTTTTGTGCTTAGGTTGATTACATCTGACGGGTCCTCAGCCCACTGAGCTCTCTCTCTGGCTCTCATCTCGAGCTCTTCCCAGGTATATTTAATGCAGGGAGTAAATCATGATCAACCCAGCTTCTAATCAACCCAGTCATTTGTCAGACAGGCAATAAAGTGACGTAACTGAAGGACTAGCATCCCTGGCCTTTGGAAAGAGATGTAACAACAGCTTTTTTTCCCCTTGTTGTTTTTGGGCTACACATGGCAGGGTGCTCAGGCCTTACTACTGGCTAAGCTCAGGGAGACCCTGTGGGGTGCTGAGGCTTAAACCTAGGTCATCCATGTGCAACGCAAGCCGCGCGTCCACGGTAATTGTGCTCCAGTCACAGAGTTTTGATCACACAGGAAAATTGTACCTGAAAGGAATGAGCTTGGTCATTTAGAAAAATTAGGGCTGGAGCGATAGCCCAGCGGTAGGGCGTTCGCCTTACAAGCGGCCAACATGGCCGACCCGAGTTCGATTCCTCCGCCCCTCTCGGAGAGCCTGGCAAGCTACCGAGAGTATTCGATATGCCAGACACAGTAACAACAAAGTCTCCAATGGAGACGTTACTGGGCCCGCTCGAGCAAATCGACGATCAACGGGAGGGCCTTTACATTTACCTTTACCTTTAGGACCCAAAGAAAGGAGCCCACCCCCCAAAACATTCGGGCCCCAACACATTCGGTGCTGGGGTGGGTAGTGCCATCACTGGTGTTTGGGGGTCACTTGGTGCAGTGCTGGTGAACCATGTCGTGCAGGGGCTTGACCCTCGGGCTCCAGCACTAAAGCGTGCACTATCTCCCCAGACTCCGTGACAATCTGTTGAGCTGACCGAATTGGTCGTAGGAGCTAGTTCTATTTAAATCACATGACAGGGATGATCATTTCTTTCCAGGTATCTCTGATTCTTTCATTACCTTTTTCTCTCATTTCAGAGTAAAATTTCAGTATCTCCGTATTTCTGTCCTCCCGTTGTTCATGGATTTGCTTGAGCGGGCCCAGTAACGTCTCCATTTTGAGACTTGTTGTTACTGAATTGAATATTGAATACGTCACGGGTAGCTCGACAGGCTTTGCTGTGCGGGCGAGATACTCTCGGTAGCTTGCCGGGCTTTCCGAGAGGGGCAGAGGAATCGAACCTGGCTCGGCTGGGCCGGCTGCGCACAAGGCAAACGCCCTACCGCTGTGCTGCAATGCAAATCAATCATCACCTTCTCCATTTTCAATTTGTTGGGTTTTCTTCTCATTTTGGGGGGCCACATTCTGAGGTGTGAATGGGGGTCACTCCCGGAAGTGCAAAGCGTGGGCTCCAGCTCTTTGAGCTGTCTCCTCAACCTCATTCATCATGAGTCTTTCTTAGTATACCACCCACCGTTATCTCCAGTGTCATCCCGCTATCTTGTTACCCTGCCGTCTGGACTAGCAGTGGGGCTCTCATGCTTTCCCACCAGCATCTGTCTTCTTTCCTTCAGTGTTTAAGGTTCTTGGTGACAAACACCCTGCTTTCTTCTTCTGTATAGACAGGCCTGACGCTCAGAAGAAATGTCACTCTGTGAATGCTCTTGAATGTCTTAACTTTTATGAACTATGATGCGTTTCCCCGCCCCCAACCCCCACCGTCTCCTATAAAACTATACCGAAACTGAGATTCTTATGATGCCTGGTATAATAAAATGCTTAGTAAAAATGCGGCATTAAAACAATGAGGTAACTATTATCTCTAAGCCTGCTCCTTACTAAACTGGTCTTCCGGGGAGTCAACTCAGGTCTACACCCATGAAGAATCACCGAGCTGCCTTCCTGCCCTACCTTCATCGAATCTGCAGGAAACTGTGTAAAACTGGATTTCTGAAACACAAGCAGGTGAAGACTCGTTTTCAAAGGAGGATCTTCTGCTTGAGTACAGAATTTCCTTTATGTCTCTGAACTTTGATCTGCTTGTGTCACATCAAATCAGAGAGAAATCAGAGAGAACTTTTCACTCAAAGGGTATAAAACCACAGACTTCTTACAGACGAGTAATCAGAAAAGTAAGTATAATGAAATTAGACAACAGCAACGTATTTTTGATGAATACTTTTCACTCAGTCTGACGTAACACAAACGCTTCTGGGGTCAGAGAGATAGTTTGAGATAGAGCACATGTCTGCCATGTATAAGGCCCAGAGTTTGATTCCACCGCACCACAGAACTCCAGGTGCCATACATGGCCTCCTTCTAGGTCAGCTGGCCAGTGTGAAGCCAGCTTTGCCAGGAGTGATCCTGGTCCCTCCCCAGCACTGCCAGGTATGAAGCCTATTGAACGTCTTTACCATAGCTTTTTCTACCTTTTGCCCTAGCTCAAAGGTTTATACTGAGCACAGTGAAATCAATTTGTATATATATCATTTTTTTCTTCAAAATAATGTTCGAGATTCTTAGGAGGGAAATATGCTAAGACAGACGTTCAGGAACTCTTCTGCTTCACCATGTGAAAGAAGCTACCAGCTATGAACGAATCCATAACTTTCCTTCCCTGCCAACTCCCAGTAAAAACTGCTATATCTAGTTCTTCCCAGCTCTTTGTTGCATACATTTAAGTGGTTAGGAACTTTGCACATGAACAGGAACCAAAGCTGGAATTAAACTGGGAATTTAAAGCCTCATTCACAGGTCAGCGCTGCACCAGTGGGAATCACAAGACAATGCTAACGGATGCCTTTCTGTTAGTGCTCATGCCAATAATCAGTAACAGGAAAAAGCAAAGCATGCCATGCGCCATGCAAATCTCTTGGCCTCTTCGTTCCTTAGTTTCCTCATTTGAAAAAAGGGACTGATCTCAAGACACACTTGTCAGAGTTCACACTGGCCTTATGACACTTAGCTAATAATAACTGTACGATGAGGTTATGCAGTTTTATTATATATATATTTATCTGCTTTTTCACTTACATTTTGTGTAAAAACTGCATTTCATGCCAGGACTGAAACGTTCCAAAGCTCAGTTCGGTGATTAAATTGCAACTAAGATTCCTACCAAAGAAAAAAAAGAAAAAAAAAAGATAAAAGCAGTGGCAGCAGCAGAAGAAAGAAGAAGAAGGAAGAAGGAAGAAAGAAGAAGGAAGAAGAAGGACGAATTTTTTTTTTTTTGTTTTTGGGTCACACCCAGCATAACTTCTAATTCACATAAACACATTTCATGTGCTAAACATCACTGTGGACGACCTAAGCTTAAGGTTTATTCTTTGATGTTTATGATGCTGTGGGGGCATTAGACGCAAAATAGCAAATTTTGTATTAAGTATTTTAACAAATACTTAAGTAATTAAGTTCTCTAGGACAGGGATTCATGACTTCAGCACTACTACCACATGGGGGCTGGATAATTGGGGGGGGGGGGCGCTGTCCAGTACATTGTCGATATTCTGCAGTGTATCTGGAGGCCTCTGCTTACTAGATACCAACAGCATCATTACAGATCTGGCAATCAAAACAATAAAAAATCTGGAGACACTATCAAGGGTCATATGAGTACAAAATCATCCTGGTTGAGGGCCATTGTAATCGTTACTTACAGGCAAAAAAGGATTTGCTGTACAGTTCTAGTAGCCACTTTTAATGTTCTAATAATATTAAATTGAATAATAGAGGCTGACAATTAAGTGTTACAAAAATTCCAAAAATAGGGGCTGGAGTGATAGTACAGCGGGTAGGGCGTTTGCCTTGCACGTGGCCAACTCGGGTTCGATTCTCAGCATCCCATATGGTCCCCTGAGCACCACCAGGAGTAATTCCTGAGTGCATGAGCCAGGAGTAACCCCTGTGCATCACCAGGTATTACCCAAAAAACAAAACAAAAAAAAATCCAAAAATAATGAAGCATATTTTGAACTTACACAGATTGCAAATACGGTACTGCTTCAAATGTCCGCCTTTCAATAAACTGTATTTTATTGCAGGATAAATCTCTAGGGAAAGAAAAGGGAAAATATTGCTTCAATTAACTAACAAATATCTAATTTTAGGAATAACTAGTAGAAGTCAAAATAAATATTGAATGAGTAGATCTGAATGTTCCAGAATCCCTAACCTGGCTTTCCTTTTTCTCAACCACACATCTTCATGAATAAAATGTACGACTACTTGGTTCTAATATTGGAGTTAAACTTTTCTCGGAGCAGAGAATTGATGAGGTGATTTTATGTTCTAGATGGGGTTTAGTTTCTTATCTTCATGTAAAATTACTATATTTAATATAGTTATTTCAATATTCAAATGAACAGTCTCGTGTTTATATACCTTCCTGTGTAGCTGTTTTCTAGGCTAACAGAAACTAGCCTAGAAAAAATTAGCCTTTTTCATATAATATGAAAATCCCTTTAGACAGAACTTTGAACTAATTTAGAATTAAACTTTTCTATGATCATAGAAATTCAATTTTTGGTTCTACATTTTCTGAATATTCCATGAATTTCACTGCTTTAATTGTACAGTGGTGGAACAAAGAAAATCAGAGTACTGAACTTTGATTTGACTACAAGTGACTGTTCTGTATCTTTGAATTCTACTTAAGTTCTTTCACACATGACCAAGATGGGTATACCTATCTGCTAGCTCATCCCTCTTCTTCTCTTGCCTCCCTCCCTTCTTGGTCTCCTTCCTTCCTTGGCAGTTCTCAGGGCTTACTCCTGACTGCACACAGATCACTCTGAGGGTGCTCAAGGGATCTTGCATGGTGCTACGGATCAAACCTGGGTCACCCATGTGCAGAAGCAAGGCCCAGTCTTTCCTTTTCCAACACACAATGCACACCGTCATGTATTAACCTTCCTAATAGTTCTCAAGTACCAGCCTCACTACTCCAAATCAACTGAAGCAGGAACTGTGGTGGGGGATTTCAGAGGCCCACCCAGTGATCTGCTACAGGCCTGAGTGCCCCAGCGCAGGTGGGCACGAGCAAGCTCGGCATGCTAGCCCTGGCTTACAACACCTGGGTCTAGGTCCCTCCTCTTTCTCTTGGTCTTCTGAGAGCACTGAGGTGTTTTTCCTGTGTTTTACCTTTCTCCTGCTCTCTTTTTACGAGATTCTGTCCAAGATGTCTGTCTGACAATCGCCCAACATTTCCTACACTGGAATTTTTATCACCAGAACTCTCCTCGTGATAACCTCCTCTGCTCTTAATACTACTGCTATAGAATCCATCTGTATTAGCCTCGTATTTCCCATATAAATGTTCGTTTAAGTCATAGATCATTCGAAAATATGTTGACATAGGGTGTTAGAATGTTGTATTGCAAATCACAATGAGAAAAATATTTTTTTTTTTAAATTCTGGGCTAATGGCATTCAAGTTCTTTATTTTCCTTATAATTCAGGTTTATTTTTATTTTATTTTTTAAATAATTTTTTATTAAACCAGCTTTTAAAAGTTTTGTAGAAAGGCCAGAAATTTAAAAATAATAATATTCTAGATTTTGCAGAGCATATTTTAATTTTTCTTTTTTTTTTACAGAAAAACACAAATGTAGATTTTACAAACACATAGTTTTCTTTTGCTCTTCAAGCTGTGCTCTCCCATATATCTCACTTGCTAGTCTCTATGTTCCTTTGCTTTTTCACTTTCACGCTGGAAAAGCTGGTGCTCCCTCTCCAACATCACCCTCCTTTCTCTCCTCCCACATCTTCCTAAGCACCTTACATTCAATAAATCTATGCTGCTTCACTGTTGCACCTCTTTAAATTCTTTCCTGCAAGGGACAGGCGGTGAACCACGTTGCCTGTGATGAGGCTGGGACTGCTTTCCCGTTCCTGCTGGTGCAAGCTGGCAGGGTGAGGGGCCCTGGAAAGTTCTTTGGGGGAAGAATAAAACTAAAGAAGAAATTCTCTAGCCCCAAAGTAGCCCAAGAGCTTGTCCATCACATCATTTGAAATACAAATCCTCACATCTTTCTAAGTAAGTTTTAATAAAAGCTATCTTGCTTCACACACAAAATTAAAAAACAAAATCAATAAAACCATGGGCTGAAGCAATAGTACAGCTGGTGGGGCCTTTGCCTTGCATGCATCCCAAGAGCTCGACAATCACATCATTTGACATACAAATTCTGAGCTCTTTGAAGAGAAACTGAGATATCAGCAGGATGCAAAATTCCAAGGCCCCACCCAGAAAAGGCTGGTCCCCTCAGAGAAGAAGTTACACAAGAATCCATGAGATAACAAAGAGAATATCAACAGTGTAAGGCATTCCTGTGAAAACACCCAGATGAAGTTTTAGTATGCAAAATTCCAGGAAAAAACAACCCTTTTGGAAGAATTGAATAAAAGCACCTGGCTTGCTCTTCATGCCCTAAATATCTCACTTGTTTCTGTCTGTTTCTTTGCTTGCTTTTTTCCACTCTGGAGAGCCTGTGTTCTCTCTTGAACACAGACTTCTTACTTTCTCTCCCTCACATCTTTCTAAATAAGTTTAAATAAAAACTACCTTGCTTCATACACAAAATTAAAAAATAAATAAAACATGGGCAGGAGAGATAGTGGGGCGTTGGCCTTGCACTGCACGCAGCTGACCCGGGTTTGATCCCCAGCATCTCATATGGTCGCCCCAACATTGCCAGGAGTAATTCCTGAGTGCAGAGCCAGGAGTATCCCCTGAGTATCGCTGAGTGTGATCCAAAAAGCAATAAATAATAAATAAATATTAAAAAATAAAAACGAACATATTTGCATAGATTTTTGTTTTTATTTAGTAGTGCTCAGGGTCTACTTCAGGGATATTACTGGGAGTCAGGGACTGGGGAGCCCAGAACTGTGTCCTGCTGCAAATCCAACCCGGGCCTCCTGTTGCAAAGCATCACACTCATCATTTGTGCAATCTCCTCAGCTGACAAAAACAATTCTTAAATTAATGGGCCAGGTAAAACTGGACCATGCATTGGATTTGATCCATAAAGGAACTCTATATGAACACGGAGGAGATGGTATATTAGCACTTAGGTTTCTATGGGTGGAGCAGATATAAGTACTTTTCATCTATTAGTAAAGTTTGAAAAACACTTTTGTGAAGCAAGATAGTTTACATCGAAAGAAACTTTCTTAGAAAGATGTGGGGGGGTGGGAAAGAGAAAGAATGTGTTCATGAGATAACACGGCTTCTCAGAGCAGAAAAAGCAGACAGAGAGACATGAGGACAAGTAAGCAAATTACATGATCCAGGGAGAACATGGGCTTGAAGAGTAAGCCTAAAGGTTTTTTTTTCATATATGTCCATATATATATATGATGTAGGCAGGTAGATAGGGAAAGGCCCTTTGCAATGAAACAAAGTTTCATGGAAGAAGAATTCTAGGAATGACCCACCTTGTGGACACAGAAAACAAAGGCCTGATAAGACCAGACCCTCAGGATATAGGCCTCCCCACGGAATTCCTCTTTTTGGACCTCCCTGGTAACCTCCTTAGCAACGGACTTTCACCTGGAAAGAGGCCTCACGTGGGGACAGGCTGGAGAAACCCTTAAAGGCCACCTAGAACAAAGGAAGGGCGCACATATGCTGCCTGAGCCCATGTGCTGCTTGTGCCCACGTGGCCGAGCACATGTGGTGTCTGAGCACATGTGTGGCCCGCATCTCCCCTCTTCAGATGTGTACTTTCATTCTTTCGTGTCTAACTTTACTCTCTCTCTCGCTTTCTCTCTCTCTCTCTCCCCCTCCGCACCTAAAAATCCTACAAATAAAATCCATTAACTTCACTCACTGCTTGTCTACTCCTGAAATTCCTTTCTGCGAGACCCCGCTTCACATAAGTCATCCGTGGGGCCCACCGACATCATATATATATATATATATATGCAAATGTAATTTACTGTCAGAAATGACATGAGAGGTTTTTAATGCCATACTTATAAAACTACAAAATTTTATTGCTGGAAAAAAGGATGAAGATTAACTTGCACACCCCCTTGTTTTAAAAACAGAGCTAAAAATTCATAAATAAATGATTAACTTACAAGTACTTGAGGTTTGGAAGGGCTTCAAATGAATCCTTACGTAATTCTGCCAAAGAATTGTCACTGAGTATTCTGAAAAATGGAAAAATTATTTCTGGTCTAAAATGCAAAATAACTATGACTATTTATTACATAGGACTATTTTTTTTCTTAAATTTTTATTAGTGAAACACCATGAGGTACAGCTGTAGACTTACAAATTTCTGTGCTTGGGTTTCAGTTATACAATGATTGAATACCCATCCCTCCACCAGTGCCCATTCTCCACCACAACCAGTCCCAGTATCCCTCCCACCCCCCATCCTCCCATCCCACCCTACCTCTGTGGCAGGGCATCCCTTTTCTTATCTCTCTCCTTTTGAGTGCTGTGGTTTGCAAAAGAGACATTGAGTGGCAATCTTGTTCGGTCTATAGTCTACTCTCATCATGCATTTCCCATCCTGAGAAGAACCACCCGACGCCCTTTATTTGGTGCTCCCTTCTCTAGCTGAGCTGCCTTTTCCCCTAGCGTGTGCAGCTGTGCACAGGACTATTCTTACACATAATAATGGTGCTATCTAAATATCCCAATTCTTATTTAACTTAGGGATAGTGGCCTCTGTTTAAACTCTTTATTTTGTCCTCACCTAGATGCATCATGAACACGAACACAGCTATTGACTCTTCTCACCAAGTAACCTATATAAAGCATATTCTCTAGGTCACAAAATCTGTCAGATCCAAATTCTGTGTGACACCAGAAACACAGGGCTGCCACTCCCTGCTCTCTTCCCAAACATTACTCTGAGTCCCCCATGAAGAATGAAATTAAGTCTGGAAAGGAAGCCCTAAGAAACTTAACACCATTAAATTGTTTTGTTCTGGGAAGGAAAACGTGCACAAAGTGCACATGACATTTGGGCCCAGAGCAATAGTACAGTGGGGAGGGTTTTTGCCTTGCACGTGGCTTACCTGGGTCGGACCCGGCACCCCATAGATCCCCCACGTCTGCCAGGAGTCAGCCCATAACCAGTAGCTGTGCACCCCCCCCCCCAACAAAAAAGAGCAGGCCAATAAAGCGAAGGCCCCAAGACACGTTCCTGACAAGGAACCCAGCTTCCCAGAGGCCCCAAGCGTGCCCCTACCAATCACACCCTCCTCTGACACACACCCCTGACTTGAACGAACATTTCTTTGTTATTTGGGGGGTTTCTTCGGTGCTTTGTTTTGTTGTGGGGCCACACCCAGAAGTGCTCAGTGGTTACTCCTGGCTCTTCGCTCAGGGATCATTCCTGGTGGTGCTCAAGGGACCATATGGGGTGCTCAAACTCAGGTCAGCAGTCTGCAAAGCTTAAAGCCTTTCCAGAGGCAGAGAATTTGATACTGGTCCATGGAATTGGGTTGCCTTGGAAGGCAGGACCAGAGGGCAGGAAAGCTATCCAAGATTTTCAAACAAAGACTTGAAATTCGGCTTCTCTTCCCTCCTTTACCTTATAAGGATCAAATGTAAAAGGGAGTCTCCACACGGTTTGCCCCCAGCCCAGGCCCCAGAACTGGAAAGTTTGTATAGTCTGTTGAGGACTCCCATGTTGGAAACCGATAATTGCTGCCAATTATGGTTTAGATTCCCTGCTCCAATGTCCCCTTTTGTTTAGAAAAATTTCACCTTTCAGAACTAAGGATAACCCCTGCGCACCACTGTGTGGCACCAGAGCAAAATTATTTAAAAAAAAATTCTACTTTTTTTAATTTTTAGAAAAGTATGCAAGCGATTTCCATTTGTAGACTTTCTCTCTAGGTCTGAGGTTCATAGTCTGGATGAAAATACAATTATTTCCAACGCACTGATACAGCCTTTGGTTTTGGTTTTAGATCATACCTGGCTGTGCTCACGGCTTATTCCTGGCTCTGTGCTCAGGGATCACTCCTGGCAGGGCTGGAGGGCCCTATGGCGTGCTGGGAATTGAATCCTGGAGGCCATATGCAAAGCAAAAACCCTACCCACAGTACTACCGCTCTGGCCCTAAAATGGTCATTTCTCATATTAGGAATGTCAACTGACAATGACAGATTAGCAAATTGTTCATTTGGCCTCTAATACAAACCACAGATATTTTTCACATCGCATTTGTTAGAGACATCTCAATCTTTTGGTTCTTCATCACAAATTTGAAGTTAGTTGTTAGACATACAGGTGGCTATTAGGTATGTCAATATGTGTTATTTAATAGCACTGTCACTGTCCTCCCACTGTTCATCGATTTGCTCGAGCAGGACCAGTAACATTGTGAAATTTGTTACTGTGTTTGGCATACTGAATACATCACGGGTAGCTTGCAAGGTTTTGCCGTGTGGGCGAGATACTCACCGTAGCTTGCCAGGCTCTCTGAGAGGGGCGGAGGAATCAAACTCGGTTGACCAGGTTGGCCCCATGCAAGGCAAAGGCCCTACCCGTTGTACTAACCATTTGCTCGAGCGGGCCCAGTAACGTCTCCATCATGTGAGACTTGTTGTTACTGTGTTTGGCATATCGAATACATCATGGGTAGCTTGCCAGGCTCTGCCGGGCAAGCGAGATACTCTCGGCAGCTTGCCGGGCTCTCCGAGAGGGGCGGAGGAATCAAACTCGGGTTGACCAGGTTGGCCCCATGCAAGGCAAATGCCCTACCAGTTGTACTAACCATAAAATTAAAATATGGATGGGATCCCTTTTATTGAGTCATCAGGGCAGCCCCCAAATAAAGAATGCCCAGAGGTGGATGGGCATGGAGAAACAATACTTTCATGAACTGGCACAACGATTTTGAGGTCAATTAAATTTTTATAACTATATACTCTTCAGCCAACAAATCCATCTCTAAATATCTACTTAACAGGCCTATCTGCCCATATTCACAAGGCCCTGTGCTGCGGTAATACATGTGACCAAAAAAAAAAAAAATCAAAGCATCTTTCAATACACTTTTTTAAGTAGATGGGGTAAACCTCTATGCACCATAAAGGAAAGAAGTCTAAAGCAAAATAAAGTGAAAGTATCAAGTGGTAGCTGTTATATTTATAGAAAAAACAAATCAGAAGATTTACTTTCGCATTATGGATCATTTAAAAATTTTTAATGAAGAATGTAATCATGTACCTGTGAGTCGAGTGCATCAGCAACCTGATGGCGCCTTCAGACTTCCAGATACCCCAAAATTGCTGCTGTGCCTTTGGCCAGACCCCAAAAACTTCGGGCAAAGTTTACCAAGAAAGTAAATGGCCAAAAGTTAGGTATGTGGGAAACACCCCCACAAACCACCTCCGGCTCAGCTATATAATTGGAGGCACGGCCTCTCTGGTTCCTGAAAGAACTGCTTAATGGCCATGATCCCAGAGACTCAGAAGCAAATCTCGAAACCCAGCAGCTTTTGGCAGAAATGCGTCCGGTCCTTGCAGTAGGTTACCGGTGCTGGGCCAACCCAGGTGGGAATAGGTTTCGTGCCTTGACCTGTTCCCCCCGGCGGCCCAGTGGCCACCATCCTTCAGAGACCACTGGACAGTCAGGTTTGGGCCTGCAGTGACAAGACACGCAGGGCCTCACGGGATGGGGGTGGAGCCGGTCCTGTCCTCCCCACCCCAACGAGACCCCAAGTCATCGCCCACGAACGGCCTCTCTGGCTCCTCATCAAGCTGCTTAACAGCCTTGATCCCAGAGACTCAGAAACAAATCTCAAAACTCAGTGGCTTTTGGCAGAAATGCGTCCAGACTCCGCAGTAGGTTACTGTCGCCGGGCCACCCCAGGGGGGAAAGGGTGTTGTCTCTCCGCCTGCTCCCCCTTGGCGGCTTGGTGGCCATCATCCTCCAGAGGCCATTGGACAGTCAGGTCTGGGCCCGCAGTGACGAAACTTGTTGGGCCTCACAGGATGGGGGTGGAGCCGGTCCTAGTCTCCCTGTTCCAATGAGACCCCAAGTCATCGCCCAAGAACAGCCTCTCTGGCTCCTGATCAAGCTGCTCAACGGCCATGATCCCAGAGACTCAGGAGCAAATCTCGAAATCCGGTGGCTTTTGGTGGAAATCCCTCCAGATTTAAAAGTGTTAAAATTTCAGAATTTCAAAATCACATGACCCTACTACAGCCACGCAACATCATATGTTATTCATAACCAGCAATAGAACACAAATTGTCTACTGTTGCCTTTTCAGCAGATCTGAGTCTTGGGGTAAAATCTCAAATAATAATGGTGGGTCTGGTGTCAAAATATTGAATGTGATCAAAGTAGAGCGAGAGTAATGTGGAAATCATCTGCCCCACAGGTAGGGGGAGGGTGTGGGATGGGGTATACTGGGGTTTTTGGTGATGGAGAATGGGCACTGGTGAAGATATGGGTGTTTCATTGTATGACCGAGACTTAGACCCCAAAGCTTTGTAACTGCTCTCATGGTGATTCAATAAATAAAATTATAAAAAATGAAAAAAAAAGTAAGGTGGAGTTCATGCACAATTCAATCAGCTAATCAGTGGCTAAATAAATAGTACTTCTACATAAATAAATAAATAAATAAATAAATAAATAAATAAATAAAGTAATCATGTTGGCTTGCTACTCAAGCCCATGTTCTCCTGTGAACACATTTCCAGTTTGCTCATCTCTGTGTGCTCTCTCTAGAACTTCTCTTTTTCTCCTCTCACATCTTTCTAAAATAAGTTCAATAAAACCATCTACATCACCAAAATATATACTTATATGTATATGTGCGTGTGTATATACAATTAACTCTACCAGTTATGGAATGGAAAACAAAAAGACTTTTAACGTAAGAGCTTGGTAAACCAAAATTTTTTAAAGAAGTAAACTATTATAACTAATAGAGGTTGTTTTGGGACATGAGTGTGAAATACCTTCTATGTGGTATTGATTTTTAAATTGTATACTAAGGAGGATTTTATGGTGCAATTATTTTTTAATATTCATATTTGGAGAGAATATACTCACAGTTTCTCAACCCAAGGGTATGTCTTCCATGTATTTCCATCAATGGAAGAAATAGAGTTTCCTTGGAAATCTCTGTGAAGAAACACAGTTCACAGACTTGAACAGGTAGGAAAAGAATGAACAGGAAAGTAAAAGAATCATAGAAACACAGAATACTCCAGCTCATCTCCATAGCTATGAGTTTCCCATTTTGCCCAACTAAAAACATGACGTGGGATGACTGGTCAAACAATGAAATATCTCACAATCTGAACTTCCTAATTCCTGGAGTAGATAAATACTGCCAGCTAATTAGCCTGTAAGCCATTTTTCCAAACTCACACCTATTATAACTCCTACTGCAAATTAAAGGAGAAAATTATAATTTCATAATTATCATATACAGAAAAATGAACAAAATTATCAGCAAATAAATATTTTAAAACATTGCCAGGAAACACCAAAGGTTTAAGTCAATGCTCTCTGTTGAAATTTCAAGATAGTAGAAATTTCTAGATAGAGACTAGGGAAATTAGAAAATGAGGGGGGACTAGTGAGGAGAGATATATTCAACGTGCCTCAGGAAAAGAACAAATCACAAAGAATTACCTTCATTGGGGGTGGGGAGGAATGCACAGGAAAGAGAGTAGAAGGAAACCCAAGATGGTAACAGAAGTTACCATGCGGCAGTCATATAGCTGGTAGAGTGGGAAAGTGGGATTTTTGCGCCTTATCCTGTTTACTTTACTGACCTATTGTAACAAAGAGAATATGTTCATGAATTTACACATGTATAGACGCATGAAGTTGGTGGAGGGGGGGATGGTGCTCAGGACTTGCCCCTGGCTCTGCGCTCAGGGTCAATAATTTTTCATTGAACTGCTGGCTGGCAGTGATGGAGGGGGACCCTATGAGGTGTCCGGGATTGAACCTGGGTTGGCCACATGCAACGCAAGAGCCCTACCCACTGTCCTAGGACTCTGGCTCCCTGAGTTCAGTTTTAAACACTAACTCTGTGGATCACTTTGAATCTAGTTTTGTCAACTTCGCTCAGCAACATGTGTATATAAGCTGCAAATGTGTACATAATCCAAATATAAACCTAATCAGTTTACATACACAGTTTTCAGGGTGAAAATGTTGAAACAGAAACCTATCCCATCCACCTAGTGAACATTTCCACTCAAGACTTCTGGATGCTTTATGATGTCTAAGCCACAAGTTGAGGGATATGTTTAAGGAGGCACAGATTCATAACTGTTTCATATTACAAGCATATTACATATCTCCAAACACAAAAATCATACCAAACGTGCACAGCTTTTTATATGCCCAGCACATAAATAATTTTTGATCCAAAAAAATCAACCTCTAATTCCCAGCTAAAGTTGCTCTGTGTCAGCTCTCTGCAGCTTTCCACAACTGACAAGATTCTGTACATTTCTGTGCCTCTGTTGGTGCTTGGTGACACGCTGCCTTTCCTTTTTGTGTATTCCCTTTCTCCCCAATACCATCATGTTTAAGAGCCGATGACATATTGTTGTGGCTAGGTTGAGGGAAATGGGTGCTTTATATGGAAAGTCGATGTAAACAACTGTAATTCTGAAATGAGAGATTAATGAATACAGACAGCATTCATGTGTATGCTAGTTGCCCGATATAAGTATATAGTTTCACGGGGAGGCCACACCCGGCAATACTTAGGTGTGACTCCAGGCTCCGCACTCAGGAATCACTGATAGTGGTGCTCAGGGGACCATATGGGATGCCGGGGATCAGAACTAGGTGGAACACGTGCAAGGCAAATGCCCTACCTACTGTACTATCACTCTGGCCCAAAGTATTTACATAGATTTCATAGTATTACTTTTGTTGCAATTGGAGCTGGTTAGATCTCACAGTCAACCCTTCTCCACCACCTTGGCCTCATCTCTATAGGGATTCATGTTAAACTTGTTTCAAGGTACTAACTTCATAAGTATCAAAATCAACAAGTATCACAACAATATTAGGAGGTGATAACTTACCATTACCCCCACCTCAAGAAAAGGGAACTGAGTCACAGAGCTAAATAACTTGTCCAAGGTAACAAAGCTAACAAATGCAAACTCGGGCAATCGGGCTCCAGAATTCATGTCCATAAGCACAAGATTGTGGCACCAGCAATAAAAGATAAGGAGGACAAACTATTTTTTTTTTTAAAAAAAGGCTGTAGCACAAAGGAAACAAAGGTTAAGGAATTAAATGAAGGATAAGTTGATGGTGAGATAAAAACAGAGAAGGAAAGAGGGTGCGGACAATTATAACCAAAAGACTAGAAAAGCAGCAGCAACAGATAAGGAGAACAAGGATATCTTTTGACTAACAAAAGATAAAAAGCGGAAATCATTTAACGTGGGCTGGGGGGGGATGAGGCAGACACAGGGAGACATTGAAGAAAAGGCTCTCTATGTCAATAGGCAGAATGCAGAGAACAGAGGAAAGGGGATTCTTACAGGACGGTGAAGGTGTTGGTGTTGGGCCCTGGCACAGGCACTCTATGGAGCCTCTTCTCTGGACTGAGACCGGAGCAGGAGAGGGTCTTATCTGTGCAGGTACAGAGCTCACATATGTTAAAGGTCATGGAGACATTCTGTTCCAGTTGCTCAGGGAAATCTACGTGTGCCTTTTCTGAAGCATGTCGTACAGCAGGCTGGGCAGAAGAGTGAATCAGACAAGAATGACGTGTCGTCAATGTTTCTGGTTGTGGAGTAGCGTACAAAGGTGGAGATGTGAGTTCCCCAAGATCTGTCTGCTGATGCTGAGGCTGTTCTGAAGGCATTTCCTCACTGGGGGTTGTCGGAGCAGCATTTGCCTTTTCTGAACTACATCGTACAGAAGGCACAGTTGAAGACTGAGTCGGAGAAGAATGAGCTGTTCCTGATGTTTCTGGTTCTGGAGCTAAGCACAAAGGTACAGATGTGTATTTACCAAGATCTCTCTGCTGATGCTGACGCTGTTCTGAAGGCCTTCCCTGTCTGGGGGTGGTCAGAGTGGTACTTGTTATAACTCTCACCTCAGCTTTCTTGGAGGCCTTTGAAGACTGAGCTGAAGTCTCTTGCATGGTGGGAGATATAACTGAACTGCCTTTAGTTACAGTAACGTCCTTGTTTTTAGGTGGAAATGTGACTCCACTCAGGTTTGAACAAGGACTCCGAGACGGTGTGATAAGTGTCATATTTGACTGTTCTGTAGCACTGGTACTTGTCAGGGTTGTCGAGGGTTTAGTCTTCACCGTGTGTTCTGGAGTTACAGTCAAATATTGATTTGTAGAAGGCCGATTCTGATGAAAATGTTGAACCTTGTTCTTCTGTGTGGTTGGAGAAGGTATTGTCTTCAAAACCCCCACACTGGGTGGAGCTGAAATGTCAGCTGAGAGTGAACGAGTGTTCACATGATGGGGACCTGGTGAAACTGTCACCTTCTGATTCTCCAGAGTCTGAATTCGGAAAGCTTCAGAACTCCACGCTATAGAGTCTGGACGCTTAGAAGAGGTGCCTGGCTGAGTTGAAGAAATGACTACCTCAAGATGCTCAGGAATCTTAGGGACGACGTCCTCCTGGGTTGCAGAAGATAAAACAGTTTTAGTGGTTTCAGACTTGTTACTGTTAGGTTTCTTATGATGAGTATGATACCTCTTTGTACTCTTAGATAGCAACCTATATATTTTCGAGATTTTGAGAGTGGACAGGTGTCCAGTTCTCGAGAGAAGGTGGAGTAGATCCCCTTGAGCTTTAGTGACACAATCTTGAAGGTTCTCTATCAGCTGGGAAGATTCTTGCTCCTTAGTAGAAAAGCTTTTCCCAGGGTGCTCTGGACCTTGAGTCTGTGCCTCCTGGAAGACGGACGATTTTCCCACCTTCGTGAGGTCAGTGGTTTCATATGATGAAGATGGAGTCACCTCAGGGGACCCTAGCATTTTATCCTGGGACTCCTGCAGGACTGATGGAGAGTCCATCGTCTCAGAGAGCTGTGGACCTTCACCTTGGACCTGCTGGTGGGCTAAAGAAGATTTGGGTAAAGAGAGCTCTGAAGCTGGAGTCTGTGATTCCTTCTGGACTGAGGACTGAACCCCATTAATGACCTCTGGAGCTATGGAAATTGTCACCATCACAGGTTTTACAGTGACGTGGGGCAAGTTTGAAAGGTCAACTTCACTTGGAGGCTGAGCTGAGACCTCGTGCTGCTCTGGAGCAGGTTGAACCTCCTTACTGACCTCTGGAAACATGTTAATTGTCATACCCACAAGTTTTCCCCTCACACTGGGAACATTTAAGAGCTGAGCTTCATTCTTACTTGGTGATGACACATGTTCAGGATGGTCTGATGGTCTGACCTCATTATTGAACTCTGTATATAAAGGAAATGTCACACCCATAGGTTTAGCAGTGACCTGGGGTAAATTGAAGCTTAGAGCTTCATTCTGACTTGGAGGTGGAACATTTTCTTCAGAATGCAGAAATGGTTGAGCTTCAAACTCCATAGGGGATTCAGGAGGCTGAGCTAGGGGATTCTGCTGGACTGAAGATTCAGTCACCTCAGGGATGTCTGGAGCTTGAGGCACTGTCTCCTGCCGTATGGCAGAGCCACTGTCAGGGCTCTCTAGTACCGCAAACTGGGCCTCCTCTTGGGCTAGAGATTGTTTCTTTTCCCTAAGGCGTTCTGCAGTGCGAGTGATATTTAGGGCTTCTGGCTGGGTTGATGTTTCCCCCTCACTGGGGACCCTTGGAGTTCCGGGAATCTGCAGATAGGCAGGTTTGATGGTGACAGTAGCTGTATTTGAAAGATGGACTTCCTTTGGTATCGGTGACACTCTGTTTTCCTGATCACGCGCTCCAAGTTCCAGTCCTGACTCTAAAGGCTGAGCTTCCACCTCCTGAGGCACTGAAGATCCTCTCTCCTCGGAAGCCAATGTAGGCTGAACTAGGGTTTCTGGCAGGACTGAAGCAGTATCACCCTTTTCAGGGGTACTTGACAGCAAATCTGAGTCTGGAACTACCAGAGGTTTTGATTCCTCGGGAGATCCTAGAAGTGCAGCTGGGCTCTGTTGTGTGCTTGCTGAAAGTTCAGCTTCCAGGGTCTTAAAGGGAAGCTGTTCTATCTCTTCAAAGGTTTCTGGATGCTGAGGCTGGGGTGAAAAGGATCCAGCCTTGTGACGGATCTGTGGATGTTTCTCTGAATCTCCCACCAAAGGTTGACTCCCCTCAGGATAAAAGATATCCATATCCATACTCGTCGGTGGTGGTAGACGACGAGGTCTCATAGATTTCCTGGGAGTTACAATACCTTCAGCAGGATGGTCACGGTGAACTGGATCCTTCCCCCGGTTCTCAGGGGAAAGAAGATAAGTGAGAAGTTCGGAAATAGTTCCACCTGCGAGCCTCCGATGTGCTGCCGGTTTGTCAGTGAAACCAAGGTGTGGAATAAAAAACTGGTGAGACCTAGAGGAATCTAAGTAATCCTCCTGCGTCGGTGGTGGTAGACGACGAGGTCTCATAGATTTCCTGGGAGTTACAATACCTTCAGCAGGATGGCCACGGTGAACTGGATCCTTCCCCCGGTTTTCGGGGGAAAGAATATATTTGAGAAGTTTGGAAATCTGGGGCCGAAGGGTAGGGGGTGATTCAGCGGCAGGATCAGGGGAAGGTGAAAGCCAGGGATTGGGGGGGCCTGGGGGGCTGGGGGCCAGGGGGACTGGGGGTAGGACTCTCCCCCGGAGAGGAGCGCCCTGTATATGGGTAGAGAAAAGAATTGTTAGTATTTTTATTGCCACATCCATGGCTAAGGAATTAAGGCAGCTGGGCGCTGCCCGTGCATGCCCTTATCAACCACGCCCTTGGCAACCACAGGCCCTTGGCAACCGCAGAACCCACCCCTCACCACCTTTATGAGCCTTTAAGCGCCTTTATTGGATCTGGGCAAAGCAGGCTCCTCAAAGCCAGCAGGACCCAGGCTTTCCTTTTTCCCCCAAGGCACCAAACACATCCAATCAGGTCCTCTACCCCACCCCCCTTGCCTCCCCTCCCACTCTTGCCACCCAACAGGACTGGGACTGCCCACTCGTTTGGGCGGAGCCCCAAGGGTGGGGGAGGAGCAGCTTGTCCCCAGACAGGGAACACTGGTGAATTCAACAGCACTAATCCAGCTGTGGTGGTCTTGGTGCTTCCTCCTCACTACTGAAATCCAAGAGACATTCGTCCTCCCCTTGGCCATCCTGCTTCCAAGAAAGGCAGTTGACCTGCAAGAGGAGCACTACTTCGGGTGGGTGGGGGTTCACAAATGTTGTCATTTCCTTTAAGCTCTTAGTCTCTCTGATTATTTATCACTCTCCTAGACAGGGGATAGCATGGAATCAGGGACCCAAAATTTTCTGAAGCAGGGCTCTGGGGCCAGAAACAGTTGATTCTGGGAGACCATTCTTGAACGGAATGAACAGCCATATGCACTCCTTTACACCAGCCTGGGGGGAAATCCCCCTTTCTTGCATGGAACTCAACATAAATTCATGGAGAAAAAGGAGCAAGCTCCTTTCTAGAGGGCTGCCCTTCTAGCACTCGGAGGGAACACTTAGGATGTTCACGTCAGAAAGTGAAAAGGCTTTCTTGCAATACTGTAACTAGCACCCATTTTACTTTCTTCACAGTCCTTCTTCTCATCCATATCAGTTTTTATTATCTCACACTTCCAGAATATAAATTTCATGAGAAGGGGCTTCTTCCCGCTCTCTAGTTGAGTAGAAAGCCCCGAATGGAGTTGGTTCCAAGAGTAGCCTCATTTAGGGATGGATGTTCGTTTTCTGAATTCTTTGGCATTAGTACGAAATGTCTTCTCACCTTTCTTAGTAAGGTGGACATTGTTGTCTCTTTGGGGGCCACACCTGGAGGTGTTTGACGCTGTACCTGACAGTGCTCAGGAGGCCATGCAGTGGCAGGTATCAAACCCAGGTCTCCCTCATCACAGTCCATGCTCCAGCCTGATGAACTATGTCTCAGGCTCCTAAGCTAAGTCTTTTAAGACCAAATTGTAGGTGTTGGAAGTTTTCTTGGTGGGTTTGATTTAAACTATTTAAAAAAGTTCTTTGCAGGACTAGATCAATAGTTCAAGAGATTGAGCACATGCTTTGCACAAGAAAGATTTGAATTTGATCCCTACCATCACCTGGTCCCTCGAGCACTTCGACAAGTGACTGTAACAAAGAGCCAGGCTGGGTAATTCCTGAGCGCTACCAAGTGTGAATCCCGCTACCTTACCCACAAATAAAATTTATTTTACAAAGGAAAAAAACAGATTTTCAACAAGAGGAACAGAATCACCTTTTCTCTCTTTATCTTCCCCTAACTCCCTAACTTTGGAAACAAATTTTCTGACTTTGAGCCATGTTAATTACATATATCCAACTCCAAATTTATTCCCAATGATATTAAACACATTTTGCCACCCCCCACCATCCCCCGAATACACACATAGTGTATTCATATGTTCTCCTGGAAATTAACAAGTTAATTCCTAATGTGGAATACTGTGCAACTGTTGAACAGAAAGGTTCTTTCATAAAATATTTCATACAAGATATATATGAGATGCTAAGCTCTAGGTATGAAATCATACTTGAAAAAAATGATAACTTTTCGAATGCTGTAACATAATTGTACTTAAGGCCCCAAATCCCTAGATCCTGTTTAAGAGGAGTTCAAAAAGGTATTTCTCTGACAGAACTCAGAGGGCACTCAGAACTCTCCACATTTCAAAGAAGGCTTTAGAACCAATGGCTAGGACTTCAGGGAAAATTCAGAAATTCCCTCAAATAAAGTTTGAGAGTTTCATATTTTTCTGGGGGTGCTAGAATTGCCTACACATGCTCAAAATTTCTAAAATCTGCTCATTATTTTGAATTACAGACATCCTGTATATGTCATCCTTGAGTTTTTCTCTTCACATACTTGAATTAAATCATGTAGTCCTTCGGTTCTGGCATCAGTGAGCTCCTCAAAAGGCCGATATTCCACAGCTACTTTACCACTTTCTGAAATAAAGTTAACAAGGATCAATTCAAACTTATTGGCTAAAATGTTCTTTCTATAAAGGTAGTGCACAGTGATAGTGGGTGTGTACTTCCTTTATACGTCCAATAATTTTATTTCTAAAGCATAAAATAAGAGCATTTTCCTTGTCAATGCAGACATTAAGTTTGGTTCCTTTTGCTTCTCTGTTCTGAGGCCATTCTCAAAGGTGCTTAGGGATTATACCCACTTAGTACTTGGAGTCATTCCTGGCAATGCAGTGCTGAGCTGGAACTGAAACCTGCTTCCTGCATGCCAAGAATGTGCTCAGCCTGTTGAGCTATCTCTCCAACCCACTCCTTCTTTCATTTCTTTTTATCTGGGGTTTGCAGATCCTACCCTCTGGTACTCAGCGACTGTTCCTGGCTCTGTGCTCCCTGATGGTACTAGAGGGGACCATATGCCGTGCCAGGGATATGCAAGGCTCTGGTACCATCTTCCTAACCCCCCATTGGTTCTTAAAAGTTATTATAGTTGATAGAAATTTTACCAGATGACCACAGAAGTCTCTTTTGCTAGAAAATTGCCCAGACTGCAAGGCTGAAGTCAACCCAGGAGCTACTCGTGTAATAAATAAGGTCTCTGACAACTGAAAATTCCTTTCTCTAAGACTGCAGGGCTATAAAGCAAGGAAAGCAATTCTGTTTGTGGACTCTCTACAGATTATTCACTTTCCTTTGGGCACAGCCGGAAATATCCATAGCACTAGAAAATTCCATAAGAGGAGAACATTTAAAAATCTTAAATAGTATGACCACTATTTGTTTTTGTTGGGGGCCACACCCAGCAGTGTTAAGTCTTCTCCTGACCGAAGTACTTGGGGGCTGCTCCTGGACGCTAATGTTGTGCCAGGAATCCAAACCTGGCCTTCCACATGCATAGCATGTGCACTAGGCCTCTTAGCTATCTTCCTGGCCGCAGCAGAATCACTGTGAAGGTTCACAACAAATAGTTGGTTGTTACATCGAATCACAAACTCTCAATATGTCAGTGCTGAAAACCAACCACGAACTGATTCCAGTTAATTTTCCTCTTCAGTAGGAAAATAGTAGCAATAATTAGAATATTTCGTCCTTTACTAAATTCTAGGTAAGTCTCTTTAAACATTTATTTATTTTATTTTTATTATGTAATGTTTCTTTTTCTTATTTTTTTGTTTTTGTGGGTCACACCCAACAATGCTCAGGATTTTCTCCTGGCTCTGCGCTTAGGAACCACTCCTGGCGGTGCTAGGTGACCATATGGGATACTGGGAATCGAACTCAGGTCAGCTGCATGCAAGGCAAACACCCCACCCAAGGTGCTATTGCTCCAGCCCCTTTCTTTCTTTCTCTTTTTAATGAATGACTGTGAGATAGAGTTACAGACTTACAAACGTTCGTGCTTCTGTTTCGGTCATACAATGATTGAGTACCCATCCCTCCACCAGTGCCCATTCTCCACCACCAGTCTTCCCAGTATCCCTCCCACGACTCCCTCATTCCACCCACCCCCCACCCCCCACCCCCCATGGCAGGCCTATTCCCTTTCAACCTCTCTCTTCCTTTGGGGGTTGTGGTTTGCAATATAGGCATTAAGTGGCCATCATGTTCCGCCTGTAGTCTACCTGCAGCACACATCTCTTATTCCGAATGGGCCCTCCAAGCATCCCTTACTTGGTGGTCCCTTCTCTATCTGAGCTGCCTTTTCCCCCAGCATGTGAGGCTGGCTTCCAAGTCGTGGAGCAATCCTCCTGGTCCCTATCTCTACTATCCTTGGGTGTTAGTCATCCCATTCTGTTACTTTATATTCCGCAAATGAGTGCAGTTCTAGGTAAGTGTTAAGTATTTACTTTTACAATATAAGGTAAGCTAAATTAAAAAAGGGACTGGAGCAATAGCACAGCAGGGAGGGTGTTTGCCTTGCACACGGCTGACCTGGGTTCGATTGCCAGCATCCCATGTGGACCCCGAGCTCCGACAAGGATAATTTCTGAGTGCAGAGGCAGGAGTAACCCCTCAGCATCCCTGGGTGTGACCCAAAACGCAAATGAAAGAAAAGACAATTGCGGCTTAGAAATACCTTCACATATCTGTCTAGAGACCCACTGTTGCATTTTCTAAAGAGGCAGAGGGCCAGAGTACTATTACAATGGGTCGAACATTTGCTCTGCATGCAGACAACACAGGTTCAGTCCCTGGCACCCCATGTGGTTCCCCGAGTCCTACTAGAAGTGGTTCCTGAGCACATCGCCAGGAGGAAGCCCTAAGCATCAGCAGGTGCGGCCCAAAAACCAAGAAAAGAAAAAAGAAAAAAAATGGAGGACAGAGCTAGTACTTAAACAGAGGAGTCTGGAGTTTACAGCCACTATACTCTTCTGCTTTACTGACAAACAATTGAGAAAGAGGAATTGGATCAAATACTCCCTCCACAGTCTAAACTATTCTACGTTTATACATTGGGAGTAATATTTGCTGTAATTATTTTTCACAGATTCCACAAAGGACAAATTTGAGACTACTCTGTAAAGCATCTAAAAAACAAAGGAATAGGAAGTACTTATATTTCCATTATTTTCAATATAATTGACTTCTCAAAATCAATTTACTTGCTCGTCAAGTAAGAAAGCTGCAGTACTTCAAAGATAACCAACAAAGTCTTACCTAAACCACAATGAGCAGTTTCTGAAATGCATCTGACACGGTCTTTTGAATAGCAAACTTCTGAGTCGTCTTCCTTTTCATAAGGAAAGATAATGGTCCTACATCCAAACAAAACAAATAGATTTACTACGCCAATCTTTCTAATTGATTTTTATGAAGTCTAAAAACAGAACTGGGCCTGGAGCTCTAGTACAGAGGCTAGGGCGTTTGCCTTATATGCGGCTGACCCGGGTTCGAGCCCCCGCACCTCATATGGTCCTCCCAGCACTGCCAGAAGTAATTTCTGAATGCAGAACCAGGAATAACCCCTGAGCATCGCTGGGTATAACCCCAAAAATAAAAAAGTTAAAAAAAATAAAAATAAAAAAAAAACAAAAAGAGCACTACATCACGATCTTAATGAGTAAGGGAAGGCACCACACAAGGCTATGTCTTGAAGGCTCTGTGCTAAGTATATTCTGTCAGGGCTATTACCATACATTTTAGCTATCTGATCAATTCTGGACATTTGTAAACAGGTAAACTAGAAGGGAGAAATTAGTCAAGATCAGTGCACAAATCTCATACTGATTACGTATTTCAAATGGGCAAACCTACAGACTATTCTAGGAACTTGACATACCTCACACCACTAATATTCCAAGAGCAGCAAACCACATTTGATGGGGTTTAAGGTAGAAGGCTACGAATCATAGAGGAAAATATATTTTTACAGGAGTGTGTATCATAGACACCCAAACACATACACACACACACACCCACACAAACACACACACAGCTCAACCATTAACAACATGTCAATAATCTCTTATTTAAGGGCTTAATGGTCCCTAGGGCAAAGAGAACAATCAATGGTCCCTGGGGGAAATAGAACAATCTTCACACACTTTCCTCTAAGGAAACTTTTGTGAAGCATTTTCAGCAGTTGATTCAGAACACACAATACAAAATAAATTGCTTCGGTTCTGCTTGGGGCAGGGGTTTGGGTTCGGGATGGAAACACACAAAATATGGTGGTAGCAAGGTGTAATGGTCGTGGGATTGGCGTTTGAATATTAAATGTAGTCAAATATTTTTATTTTTTATAAAAATAAAAAAATTACTTTATAATAATCACTGTATCATTGTCATCCTGTTGTTTGTCGATTTCCTCGAGTGGGCGCCAGTAACGTCTCTATTCCCCCCCAGTCCTGAGATTTTAGCAGCTTCTTCCAATGATTGGAGCTCTTTTACGATCAGGGAAATGAGACTTGTTGTCATTACTGTTTTGGGCATATCGAATACGCCCCAGGGAGTTTCCCAGGCTCTGCCTGTGTGGGCGGGATACTCTCGGCAGCTTGCCGGGCTCTCCGAGACGCAAATATTTATATATTTCTCTCTATGATTTGTTGCCTACTGTCTGAACCCCATCAAACATGGTGTGGCAATTATGGAAAATGGGTAGGAAGTGTCTTATAATGTGAAAGTGGCCTGGCCTGGAGAGTGGCGGCGGTTGGGTAGTGGAGATCGGCCGCCGGGCAGGGTCCCTTGGGATGGGAAGGACCCTCACCCGCCCCTCTCTGGGGTGCCCTGAGTGAAAACGGTCTGGCATGGAGTCCTTTACTTTGCAAAAATTATAGTGTTCAAAGCAAGCCCGAGCCATCTGGATACCGCAGCTAGGAGTAACCGAATTGGATAACTGTGGTAATTCTAGAGGTAATACATGCAGATGGGCGCTGACCCCCTTCCCAGGGGATGCGCACATTTCTCAGATCAGAGCCAATCTGTTCAGCCTCCCCTTGGTTCTGGCCACGAGGCAGGTGCAAGGGGCTTTGGTGATGGTGACTAGATAACCTCAGGCAGATGGCACGCCCGCACCCCCCATGGGGAGTGACAACCCATTCGAATGTCTGCCCTATCACCTATCAATTTCAGGAGCTTGAGAAAGGTTTGCTAGTACCAAGGATGAGCTGGTCTCATTAAGATTCACCTACCAGAGTCTGTTCCAGTTCTTTCACTAACAGCCCTGCCTTTGATTTAATACCCTAAGCCTAAGTACCAGAGATTCTGGGGGGAAAAACATTTTTATTAGTGTATTTCATTATCAAAATGAAGATTTTGGTGAGATAATGGACAATTACACAGGATCTATACTTGAAAAATTTCTTTGGAACAAAGAAGACTGTTAGCCCCAAATAGGAGAAACAGTATTCCCATCCCTATATCTCTAAGGTTCTTGGTAGGAAGACAGCTCTAAAATTGTGAAATGTCCCCGGGTCCTTTGGCCCCACCAAAAAAAATGATTCTGTTAGTTACTACCTAAGATTTAAACAAGTATTGTTAAAAACATCTGCCCAAGGCTTTAGCAGCTTAGCAAGTAGAGGGATGTTTCTGATGTATCTGAAAATATGATGAGCGAGAGAGAGAGAGAGAGAGAGAAAGAGAAAGAGAATGAATGAATGAATTCTTACCCACACCCCCATTCCAGTCCCCACAGAGACCTTCCAGTTTATCCAAAGTCTCCTCGGCTCTGCCAACTCCAGGGCTCTTGCCAAAGGACGACAAAACCACCTCTAAAGCACAGAAGATCTTCACACTTTGCGTCTGAAGTGGTGCCACAATATCTTCATTTTCCCTTTCTTCAAGTTCAGAAAGATACTGAAGCTGGTAAGATTTTAGATTGAAGGTCCTTCTGAACATCTCAATGTAGATTTTAAAATGTTTAATTAGATGCTACTCAATGCCTCTTTTGCAAACGACAGCACCCAAAAGGAGAAAGTGGACAAAGGGAAATGCCCTGCCACAGAGGCAGGGTGGGATGGGGAGGATGGGGGGGTGGGAGGGATAGGTATTCGACCATTGTATAACTGAAACCCAAGCACAAAAATTTGTAAATCTACAAATGTACCTCATGGTGTTTCACTAAAAAAAATCTAAAAAACAAAAACATATTTCTGGAAAAAAAAAGTTTAATTAGAAATAAAAACGAAACTCCAGCAACCCTTGCCAACCGTTGAAGTAACCTGTCACTTCAACATTAAACAAAACTTCCCATGAACTACACCAGCCATGAACATACAGAGCACACAAGACTTGTAGAATATGGACACCACCGTCAACTCACTGAGACCTTATTGATTCTGGGGTGTGACCGGTGGTCCAACACTTTCACTTAGACGACTCTCATCTATCTGGTCTGTAGGTTCTCTGAGCCCGCTGGGGTAACACCCCACACAGCTGGGAGTCATGCAATACTCAGGAGAAAACCCAGGGCCTTGAACACGGTGGGCACAAGTTCCGCACTTGAATTCTCTCTCCGCTTCCTACCTTGACAATCCTTTTAGACCATCCACTGAAACCAAAATATTAGTTTGCCAGTTCCTGGCACTGGGAGCTGTTTAGGGCAAGTGTAGAATGTCGAACTGCTTTATGTCTGCTGAGACGAACCTAAAGACATAAGAGAGGTACTCGAGGTTAGGAACGACTTCCCACAGAGATCTAATTCAGCCCACCCAAGACTTCTCAGTACAAGTTTCAAAAAGTGGCCGTGAAGAGCAAATCAAACAAACTTTGCTAGTTGCTGTAGTTTCAGAGCCATGCTCAGCAGTAATCAGTTCCTCCGAGCTCTGTGCTCCAGGATCACTCCAGGTGGTGGTTGGGGGAATCATTTGTGCGGCTGGGGATAGAACCAGGTTGGCAGCAAGCAAGGTCAGCCCATTAACTCCTGGCCTATTTCTTTGGTCCTTAAACAGTTTAGGCATTAAGTTCATAGGAAGCACTAATACTTATTATTCTCAAGCCGTGGTACTTTTCTGCATTATTTCCAAAATCTCTGATTAATCTGAGCTTGTCCCTGACTTCTGGTGGTAAGTGAAACTATAAGCCGTAAGATCTGCAAGATTGTAGATAAGCAAAAGAAGTAAATTGCTTCAGTGATTCTATCTAGAAGCTCTTGCCTGTAACTATAACCTGATAGGTAAGATAGACCTGCCACCAAAGCCAAGACCTCATCTACAGCACTCCTCTCTCCAAATTATTAGCCTTGCTAGAAGAGACTACAGTTTCGTTTATTTTTTTGTTATGCCATTTTATGAGCAACGATCACCTGCATTTCTCGAGAAACGGTCTCGTTCCTGACGTTCCATTCACTCTCAATGGGATGAACATCTCCGAATGCAACAGTTATGTGTACCTAGGTCGAGAAGTCAACATGACGAATGACCTGGCACCTGAGCTGCGCAGGAGAAAGAGAGCAGCTTGGAACGCCTTCAAGAACGTTGAAGAAATAGCTAAGAGGACAAAGAACCTCCGGCTCCGGGCACATCTCTTCAATTCCACTGTTCTTCCTGCATTAACATATGCCTCAGAGACCTGGGCCCTACGCAAACATAATGAGAACGCTATTCGAGTCTCCCAAAGAGGAATCGAAAGAGCTATGCTTGAGTATCATGCTTCACTCAAATGAGAGAAAAGAATCCGAAGTTCCGACCTTCTTCGACGGTCAAGAATCGGGGACGCTCTCTCATTTGCCAAGGCGTCAAAAATCAGATGGCTGGACACATAATGAGATTTGGAGGTGACTGCTGGACTAGAGCCATTACCGACTGGATTCCACGGGACATCAAAAGATCACGTGGCCATCCACTTATGAGATGATCAGACTTCTTTGTCAAGACCCTGAACGATCGATTTGAGGCTCTTCGTGTTCCTAGAATGAGCAAATGCCATTGGGCTACATTAGCACGCGATAGGGATGAATGGAGACGTTGCTGGCACCCGCTCGAGCGAATCAATGAATAATGGGATGTCAAGTGACCAAGTGATCAAGATCATCTACATAAGAGCTTCTTTATAAAATACAAATACCTGTATTCTTAGTTCACTAAATACATTATTGTGGACTTCTTATATCACTAGTTCTTAAATGACAATTTTAACTTTCAGCCAGTATGTACTATATGAACTTATTAATAAAAATTCAAATGCAAGGGTGGAGAGATAGTCCAATGGGCAAGGCATTTTTGCATTGCATGTGGCCAATCTGGGTATGACCCCCAGTACCCCATGTGGTGCCACTAAGCCTACCAGGAGTGATCCCTGAGTGCAGAGTCAGAAGAAAGCCTTGAGCATTGCAAAACATAAAAGAAAAACTATTCAAACACAAATAAAAGCAGAGCAATACTAATTATTGATTTGTTTCATGTGCCTATCACTATAACCAGTTTACAAGCACCTTGAGTGCTCAAAGAATCCATATTGTATCCTTTCCTCATGCTCTGGAGCAAGAAAAGTTTGTTTCTCACAAAGGCTTGATAGTTTGTTGGTTGAGAGAATAAATCAAGGAATGAGAGAAGAGAACAAAATTAGTTTCCCCAACCTAAAGCTGCCTGAGGAGAGGGAGCAATGAAGACTGATCTTTGAATGCTTACACCACAGACTGGCCTGGACCTGTAGTGACTGCAGCTTTGTCAACTTAGGAAGCTTCAGAAGGGTTCTGAGACTCTGGAGAGGAGTTACCTTAATTTTGTAACAGTGTTGTTTTTTTTTTTTGCTGGTAACTATGCAGAAATTCTCTGATGACTTGGGTCTTTCCTTCATTTTACATTCAGATCCACTTTACTTTTCTGTACTTATAGGAGGCCAAAAATAGACAAGAACAATGGTGCTCTCCAAGGTATAAAAGAACCTCTCATAGAAATGGAAAACTTTCAGAGAGAAGGTAGTAATCCCAGCCTGTGCATGAGATGATCTAACTAGGGTACCACCTTCACAACTACATCCTGATTTATAGGATGTTGCCATTATCACTATACTGGTAATGAATCTTATGCTATAAAAATCTCAACACCATATTTATGAAACTCGCCTTCCTCCCTCCTGCGGTGCCCTCACTCATGCAAGGTCTACGCTCTGCCACTGAGTCACATCCCTTTCCTACGAAATGGTCTTAATAGCCAGTGAGAGAAAGGGGTGGGGGGAGTACCACTCATCAATTACAATGGATACGGCACTGTAGCACTGTCCTCCATTGTCCATAGATTTGCTTGAGCGGGCACCAGGAACGTTTCACAACAAATTGTGAGACTTTGTTATTGTTTTTGGCATATCGAATACGTCACGGGTAGCTTGCCAGGCTTTGCAGTGGGAGTGAGATACTTTCAGTAGCTTTCGGTAGCTTGTAGGCAAACGCTCTACCCGCTGTGCTATTGCTCCAGCCCAAAAGGGATATAAGTGTATTTACTTATTTATTTGGGGGTGTGGGGCCACACCTGGCAATGCCCAGGCTTCATCCTGGCTCTGCACTCAAGAACCCCTCCTGGTGGGTCTTAGGAGACCTTACCTTAGGGATGCCAAGGATCCAACCAGTGTTAGCAAGTGCAAGCCAAGAGCCTTCCCCTTCTTTACTATCACTCTGGCCAAAAGCGGTTTCAATTCCAGCTGTAATATGACCGTGAGATGGCCAGAGTTTAGTGGCAGCTTACTGTCTGCAAAGCAAATAAGGTCCAAGAGACCTTGACCTCACTCCTAGGGGTTGGAGTAGGGGCGGAAGCAGGTGTTGGGTCTGCAGAGGAGCAGAAGAGTCTGTGGTCACACGGAGGGGTGTTCTCATGTCTGATGAAGGTGCAGGCAAGGACAAAAGGACGGGGAGTGAGAATGACCACTAAGAGAAGCCAGTTCAGGGAGCCGATCAGAGGTGGCTTAGAATTATCATGTGAAAATCTTGGAAACAATAATTCTCATTCATATATTCAGAGGTATGGGAGCGGATGGGGGGTCTGCACGGGAAAACAGCAGAGCGGGGGACCCCCTGGTTCTACCCCCATCCCCTCCACACCCAACCCTGCTCCACCAAAACTGAACCGAACCACAGAAGAATGGAAATGGGCCAGACAAATGAATGGGACTAAACTGAGGCCTAAGTGACATGGAATTCAGGAGCTGGAGACGGCGGAGCCTCGGGAGCACCCAAAGGGAAGAAAGTTTTCAGTGGGAACTGGGAACTCAGGGTGGGCATCGGGAACAGTGGGCGGAAGACAGAGCGATGATGCTGGCCGCGAGTCCCTCCAGGCAGCAGAACTGTCAAGCGCACATTGGACCCCCTCAAAGCCCAGTGGAGGCTGGGAACTGGGCTCTGACCCTTCCAGCTAGTCTCTTACTGCAACCAGCCTCAGAGTTTCTGCAGAAGACAGCCTGTGGGGACGGGCCGTGTGCTGCTTGGATACTGGTAGACACTGCAAGGCAGTGGGAAGCTGGTGGGGGGGGGGGTATATGGCAGTGTAAGGTGCCCCAGCCCAGCACTGCTTCCCACGGCCCCGATCCCAGCCAAGCGCCAACCCATCTTCAGCGGAGAGGACTGGAAGAGCAGGTGCAGTTCGCAGGCCCATTGGGCTAAGTGGGCGGTGCGCGCAAATACAACGTGACCATGGCCTAGAACCGCGGATGGGGCGGCAGCAGCGTTGGGGAAGACGCGCACGGCATTCAGAAGGCGAAGCGGGGATGGCTGAGGACAGAGAATGTTGCAGGGACGCCGCGGTCACCCACCGCACACAACTAGAATTTCCTCCATCTAGAATATTTCTCTATACCCTCAAACCCAATACAGTAATACACACTTCTCTAATACTGCATACTGTTTTTCTTCTATAGTCTAAACGGAAAGTTTTTATCTGTAGATCTGAGGTTGCATGAAGGTTGGTGTGGGGAGGGTGGAGAATTGGGAAAGGTCCTTGGGACATCAGTCAAGGGAATTAGTCTCTGGTGTTACGTGTGGTACTGCAAACAAAGATGTATGCACAAAATCAATGATTTAAGATAATGTACATCCTGGTATCACAATAAAATTGACATAGTTAAAGATTTTTAATAAGAAAGCACTGAAACAAGCTATATTTAGCATCACAATAATTTTGCATACCAAAGTAATATCTGATTTCATATTAATTCTTGCAATTCTCTAGAAACGATAATATTTTTATCTAAAATATGCCTTTTCACACTTAGGACCTCACACATGTACCTCTTCGTATTTGCATTACTGATAAGAACTTTGTAACATTTTACTAATCACCATTTACATGGTACATGGTAAAAAATCAAGTAATCATTTTTTAAAAATATTCCACAAAACTCTGAAAATCTTAACATGGCACTTTCAGAAATTTAAACTGCAGCTTAAAAATATCAACTGCGCTCAAACACATTTTCACATTTTCAGCATTTTAAATAGCACAGCGGGTAGGGCGTTCGCCTTACAAGCGGCCAACATGGCCGACCCGAGTTCGATTCCTCCGCCCCTCTCGGAGAGCCCGGCAAGCTACCGAGAGTATTCGATATGCCAGACACAGTAACAACAAAGTCTCCAATGGAGACGTTACTGGGCCCGCTCGAGCAAATCGACGATCAACGGGAGGGCCTTTACCTTTACCTTTACCTAAAAGATCCTACAGACAACAGGAAGCAAAATGAAAAAAAATCATCGTGAGCTGCACACAGTAATGAAGTTGAATGACTGGAGAGATTGCTCAATGGGCTGACCACATGCTCTGCATGCAGGAGGCCCATGTTTAATGCCCATCACCACCAAGTTCCCATCATCCAAAGAAGTCACGCTGAGCACCAAGACGGGGGCACCAACAGATGTGGTCCCGAAACAAACAAACAAAATATACATACCCTATTCCCAAATCAGTATTTCTACAAGACAAGCAATATTTAAGCACATTATCAAGGCAAAAAGAGCCAACAGACTATACTTATCCAACTCAAACCCGTATTCATTCAGAATCAAAAATTAAAATGAAAAAATGACCTCTACTCCAAACCAGAAAAAAAAACTCTTCAAAACAACTTTGCAGTAAAGCAGTATACATATCAGCAAGGTATTCATGAAGGCTACTTTCAATGGAAACCATCGTTTCCTTTATATTCTTTACTTTTAGAAGTTTACTGCAAAGAGACAAAAGTATATGGAAGCTGGAAGTTTACAAAGGAACTTTCTTTGTTCTATTCAAGGAAAATATAAAGAACCAGTAAAAGTAAAATTCACTTTCCAGAAAATGTTTCTAGTCATTGTAAATAATAGTAAATCCACAATTCTTTAAGAGACTCTTTTCTTAAAGAATGCCCAAACTGCAATACATACAACATTCAAAGTTATAGAGATATTCAGATTGCCATTTTCCTTACCATTGTTAAAAAAAACAACAAGGAAAATTTAAGCCTCCAATTTTGATAGATTATATTATGGTCTATATAACAGCATAACCTGTTGGAAGAACTTTTATATCCAACAAACAAACATAGACTATGACTCAAAATAAAATCACAACATAGAGCAAGAACTGTACTTTGCATTTGTTAGTATAATAGGGTACAAATTCACATGCTTGCAAAAGTGGAGATGAAACAACAATCAGCAAACTTGTAGGTCACCAGGAAGCTGAAGGTTTGGGAAACAGAGAAGCTATTTCCACTTTAATCTTGTCCCTTGAGTAGTGGCATAGGAGAAGACTCAAGAACAAAAAATGAGAGCAACCAAGGATAATTTACTAAAATTCACCTTAAAAAAAGACTGAATCTGGGGCTGGAGCGATAGCACAGCGGGTAGGGCATTTGCCTTGCACGCGGCTGACCCAGGTTCGATTCCCAGCATCCCAGATGGTCCCCTGAGTACCGCCATGGGTAATTCCTGAGTGCAGAGCCAGGAGTAAACCCTGTGCATCGCTGGGTGTGACCCAAAAAGTCAAAACCAAAAAAAAAAAAAAGATTGAATCTGCCATCTTGGATCTCTGCACCTGGTGTAACTCCCATAGTACAGTCTTTGGCATAAGTTAAATAACATATTCCCCATTCAGATGCCATGTAATTTTGAATTGATAGGCCATACAAATACAAACTAACTGTGGCTAGTCAGTAACTTGTAGCTAAATATCAGATAAGCATTAACATAGAACTCTGAAAGGGAAGGGGAAAAAACACGATAAAAAGAACGGAATTTTAAACTATCACACAGTATTTAATCACCTTTATGGGGAAAAAGTGATTAGGGAAAAAAAGTGAATAGAAAATAGAAAAGACAGGAGTATTTTGAAATGTTTACTAATTACCATAAATATATTTGTAATTGAGGTAACTGCTATAACTTCAAGCCCCATTCGTATCCTTTTTTGTTTTTCACAGTAAGCGTTCCAGGTATCTTCGTTAAACCCATAATTAAAATAATCAGAAAGGTCAGCGCCTAAAAAGAAGACACAACTTTTGTATGCAAGTATTTCAATCCTATTTTCATGCAGCAAATAAAATATAAAAATGTAAATGATAAGTTCTATAAGTATAAATACTTCTTCAAATTTTACTAGTTCTTCCGATTATTACTCTAGCACCACAAAACTATGTTTTTAATGAAATTTCCTTTATAAATGGCATTATAAGAAAATACTATGCTATGCAAGACTAATATAATGCTAAGCTACTGTTACAATTTAGCAACACAGGTCATTACTGCTAATTATGCTTAGGACATTTATAATGACATTTACAAAAATCCTATGAATACTATTGATACTGAAAGTTAGATATTTTTCTAATGACTGTAATATGAAACATCTTTTAAAAATCTGCAATCCAGAGAGATAAGTCAAAGAGCTAGAATGAATGCTTTGAATATAGATGCCCAGGTTTGATCACAAGCACACAAGGTAACCAGTCATTGCCAGCAGACCTCAAGCACCATCAGGTGTTCCCAAGAAAAATCCAGTCCTCTTCTGCTGGGGAAACAGCTCGAGTATTAGAGCACATGCTCAGTGGCCTGGAGCACACGCCCTGGTACCACAATGTTCATCCCAGAAGACTGAGCATCACACACACTGAGTGCCCCAGGACCTTGAGGGTCACTGAGGCTGGTCCCAGGGAGGGGTATGGAGTCATTTATCATCTTACCAGGTTCACACCATGGTTTATCTTCAAAAGAATCCAAATCTACCTCCAAGAGTGGAACTCCATTAATACTTCTAGGTGCATCGAGCTCTACCCCTTTGACTTTTGTTCCTTTTTTAACAAATACAAAATAGAGAAAGAATGGCATGAGCAAGATACTGAGAGAAAAACAGAAAACACCATTTTACTAGTGATAGCTCTCAATGAAACAAAGGCTTCAATGAGAACATTAGAGTCAGGCATACTATAGGAATAAGCATGTTATCAATAACAGTAAGTTTAAACTTTAGGGAAGAAACTCTAAGATAAAGTGTACGGATTAGGAACTTGTTAACGCATTCAAATAAATTCCTGTACCAATATGTACCAATAACTTCCAGGTGTTAAATCCCTTTTTATATGCTGTGAACTATAACAGGTCTTACAGGGTTGTACAAACAAGTTAAAATCAAAAGAGGGAAAGAAACCTCGTGACCCACAAACTCTACAAATACGTATTCTCTTACAAAGCCTTTCACAGAGAAAAGTTTCCCCATCCTTGAGACACAAGTTTAAACGACTCTCTTGAATTGAACTGAAGCACTCTTCAGATCACCTGTGATAGCTACTATAGTCTGTACGTTATTCAGGCATAGTCATTACTTTCCTACTGATGCACTGGCAAATACAAATTTTACCTGTAGTTCCATAAACTCTTCCTCCTGTCTTGATATTAAGATTCACTGGTGCTTTTCCGTAACTCCTAAGAACAACAAAAATTATTCTGATAATCCTGAACTAAACAAAAATAGCAATATACTCCATGTATACAAGTTATACATATATAGACTGACATTGACTAACATGTTTTAAAAAAGTGGGTGTGGGGGAGGGTTCCGAAGTGCTGATTAGGGGACCTAAGGGTCCCTTCCTGCCATTACTGTGGTCGGCAGTTCAATGCCTGGGTCTGAGAATGCAATGTTCTTCAAGCACTGCAGTACCAAGGATTATCTAGAGTACCCCAGTTGTGCTCAGAGACCTTCAGAGCCAATTCAGCAATGCTCGGGGGACCAGGTGGTGTTGGGGATCAAACTAAACTGGTTACAGGCAAATCAAGTGACTTAACTCGCTGTACTATTTCTCTGACCCCTAGGGGGAAAAAAGTCTTAATTTTTTGTCACTTATTAAACAAAAAATTTAAAAAAAAACAGATATTCTGGGATCAAGAAAGATAGTGCTGAAGGCCTTCAAAAGTACCCCCAGATGTGTCCTTGGAAGCACCTGAGCACGACTGGAACAATACGACCACATACATTGGCCCTCAAATTAAACCACCTACCATTGGGCTGAGAATCACTCGCAGTGAGGCCTGGGCCACCTGAACAAAGGGAGGACTCTTCCACAAAAGAAACAATTACATCTTATATGTTTGGGTTAGGGCACATACATAATATGAGCATGACCTGGGCATCATCCCCAACACAATCTGACCCCTCGCACACTGCCAGATTATTATCCAGGGGTCCCAAGCACTGTCACTGCTGCTCAAACAGCCAAGAATCAACAGGAGGAAATCCCCAAGGGCAAGGGGGCCCCGGAGCAACACCTGGCAGGCCTATCCCTAAAAAAATTCATTCCAGTGATGCCAACACAATTTATTAAAGAGGCTTTCCTTACTCCACTTCACATTACTTGCACCTTTATCAAAGATTAGATGAGCATATGATTGAGGAGAGATGTCAGTGTATTCAACCCTGTTCCATTGGTCTGCAGTTCTGCCTTTGTTCCAGTACCATGCTGTTTTAATTATTACTGCTTTGTAGTACAGTTTGAAGTTCGGGAGGTTGATTCCTCCCATTTTCTTTTTCCCAAGAATTGCTTTAGCTATTCGTGGGGGCTTATTGTTCCATATAAATTTCAAGAGTGTTTGCTCCATTTCTTTGAAGAATGTCATGGGTATCCTTATAGGGATTGCATTGAATTTATACAATGCTTTTGGTAGTATTGCCATTTTGACAATGTTAAGTCTCCCGACCCATGAGCAGGGGATATCTTTCCATTTCCTCATGTCCTCTTTTATTTCCTGAAGTAGCATTTTGTAGTTTTCTTTGTACAGGTCCTTTACTTCCTTAGTTAAGCTGATTCCTAGGTACTTGATTTTCTGGGGCACAATTGTGAATGGGATTGTTTTTTTCATGTTGCTTTCTTCTCTCTCACTGTTTGCGTATAGGAAAGCTATGGACTTTTGGGTATTGATTTTATAACCTGCAACTTTACTATACGAGTCTATTGTTTCTAGGAGTTTTTTGGTGGAAGTTATTGGGTTCTCTAAGTAGAGTATCATATCATCTGCGAATAGTTGGCATCACTGGACGGCTACATGCAAAAAAATAGGCTCAGAACTCTGCCTAACACCATGTACAAAAGTAAGATCAAAATGGATTAAAGACCTCAACATCAGACCAGAAACCATAAGGTACATTGAAGATAAAGTTGGCAAAACCCTCCATGACATTGAAGCTAATGGTATCTTCAAGGATGCCACGCCACTGGCCGAGCAAGTGAAAACAGAGATAGATAAATGGGACTATCTTAAACTAAGAAGCTTCTGCACCTCCAAAGAAACAGTGACCAAAATACAAAGACAGTCTACAGAATGGGAAAGGATATTCACCGAATACACATCTGACAAGGGGTTGATATCCAGGATATACAAAATACTGGTTAAACTCCACAAGAAGAAAACATCCAACCCCATCCAAAAATGGGGCAATGAAATCAACAGAAACTTTCTCAAAGAAGAAATCCGAATGGCAAAAAAGCACATGAGAAAATGCTCTACATCATTAATCATCAGGGAGATGCAGATCAAAACCACAATGAGATACCATCTCACACCTCAGAGACTGGCCCACATTCAAAAGAACAAAAGCAACCGATGCTGGCGTGGATGTGGCGAGAAAGGGACACTCCTTCACTGTTGGTGGGAATGTCCACTGGTTCAGCCCTTCTGGAAAACAGTATGGACGATTCTCAAAAAATTAGAAATTGAGCTCCCATTTGACCCAGCAATACCACTCCTGGGAATATATCCCAGAGAGGCAAAAAGGTATAGTCGAAGTGACATCTGCACTTGTTTGTTCATTGCAGCACTCTTTACAATAGCCAGAAACTGGAAGAAACCTGAATGCCCAAGAACAGATGACTGGTTAAAGAAACTTTGGTACATCTACACAATGGAGTACTATGTAGCTCTTAGAAAAGATGAAGTCATGAAATTTACATACAAGTGGTACAATATGGAAAGTATCATGCTAAGCGAAATGAGTCAGAAAGAGAGGGATAGACATAGAAAGATTGCATTCATCTGGGGGATATAAAGTAACAAAGTATGAGATTAATACCCAAGAATAGCTGAGATCAGCACCAGGAGGATTACTCCATAACTTAGAGGCCAGCCGGGTATCCTAGAGGAAAGGGCAGTTCAGATAGAGAAGGGAGCACCAAATAAAGGATGTTTGGAGGATCCTCGCAGGAGGGGAGATGCATGTCGAAAGTAGACTATGGACTGAACATGTTTGCCACTCAATGCCTCTTTTGCAGACCACAACACCCAAAAGGAGAGAGAGAACACAGGGGATTTCCCTGCCACAGAGACAGGGGGGATGGGGGGATGGGGGTGGGAGGGATATTATCCATGGTGGTGGAAAATGGGCACTGGTGGAGGGATGGGTATCTGATCATTGTATAATTGAAACCAAAGCACAAAAAATTGTAAATCTACAATTTTAAAAAAAATAAAATAAAATAAAGGGAAAAAAAAAATTCATTCCAGGCCATTAGCACTGAACACCACTTAGGAAGCCGCCCCACTCCCCAATTCCCCCGTGCCCCCCCAAAAAGGGGGTCTTAAAAGTTGAACTGTTTTTTTCTTCAAAAACCTACCTGCCAGTACATGTCCCACTGTTACACACTTCCCAAGAAACTAAGCTGGTCAAGGGAAAGTAGCACTGTAGCACCGTCCTCCCGTTGTTTATCGATTTGCTCGAGCGGGCACCAGTAACGTCTCACAACAAATTGGGAGACTTGTTCTTACTGTTTTTGGCATATTAAATACATCACAGGTAGCTTGCCAGACTTTACCCTGGGGGCGAGATACTCTCGGGCGGAGGAATCGAACCCAGGTCGCCATGTTGGCCACATGCAAGGCAAACGCCTTACCCACTGTGCTGTCACTCCAGCCCTAAAGTGTAAGTAACACATTTATATATACATCTTGTCCTCATTTCCTTGCCTCCTACTGAATTCAGTAGTCAGCAATCCTGTAAGAAAGAAGTAATAAGAAATAGTCCTTGTTTTATAATCCAGTGATCTCCTTTAGGCTCTCACTGCATTCAATACTGTTAGTAGATCGTCTTTCAAATACATGGACTACTTTTGTCCATAAAATAAATTCATAAAATGAAATCAATCTAAACCAAAACCAGAATGTGGTTCTTGGTGTAAGTGGTTAAGGACGGAGAGAAAACAATAGGGAACAGGTTTCTAGAATGCGAGTACCATTCCATATCCTGATCTGGGTGGAAGTTACATGAAAACGAAACACTTGTAAAGATGAACTCAATTTCATTTAACGTAGTAAAATATACCTGAAAACAGAGGGAAAAGCTAAAATTTGGAGCCAGAACCCCATTCACATTCAAGGTTTAGCCAATATTACTTATGTGATTTTGGCCTAAGACCTGTATACATTTTCCTTAACAGTAATTTAGATAGCCACGAAGTGCTAGATCCCACATACCTGGGAGTCCAAAGGAATTTCAAGCAAGTATGTGAAAGTATTTCATTTTAACATGAATCTCCCACACTGACCAGATCAGTTATATTTTCAATTAACGTCTCGACAAGCCGTGAAGCCATTGAGTTCTCCAAGTTACCCATAATTCTGTTTAGTACTCAAAAGTATCTTCTTTATCCCCCCATTTTAACTTAGATCAAAGAATATAACATGGATTCACAGTCAGCCTTCTAGAGAGGTCTGTGCTAATGGACCCCTCCCTCACTTTCCACTTACCTCTCCACCCTCTACAGCCCAACTCTGCAACTTTCATCCACAAAAACTGTCTCTCCACAGCTCTTTTTCATGGTCATTTTCACTCATCCCCTCCTGATAATTCTTTTTAAAATTTTTTGGATGTTTCACAATCATCAGTTTGCTCCTGGCCGAATTCCACTATCCGGATAAGTCTCATCCAGAAATTAATTTTGAAAAACTCCAGCATGCAGATTTTGTGATTGAAATCTCCAGCTTTCATGAGGTCAGGGAGGGTTCCCTCCCTCCATGTATCCCTGTTCTTCTGGAAGCCCGGCAGGAACACCTCCAGCGCCATGTGAGCTCTCTCACAGGCCATGATCCAGAATAAATTAGAATAACAAACTTAGAAATAAATCTTGAAAGAGATCAAGAATTTCTCTCGGATCCTGCACAAGGCTGAGTCATCCAGAGGTAACCCAGAGAGGAACGGGTGAATCCCCACGTCCACCCAAACAGAGTGCCAGCAGCCAAAAACCTCCACATTCCACAATCAGCTTTCGGAGATCGGGCACAGACTACCCTCTGTGCTTCTGGAAGCCCAGCCGTCAGGCCTATGCCCCAAAGCCACCAGTTAAGAATTTCACTCCATCTGTTACTCCGTCAACACTTTTGGACACCCTGGAGTGTGTGGATGCAATTCTGGCTACGCAACATCTCTAACTCTGTAACACTGTTAAGCCAGAAGTAGCACACAGGACTGGATGGTATGTAATATGAAAGGCAACCAATTTCAATTGACAAAATCTATACACAGAAGGCTTTACCTGTAACGTCTTAGTAATCTCTTACACAAGGTTTAAGGGCTCCATGGTGAGATAGAAGAATCTTCACTACCGGGGCTGGAGCAAAAAAGCAAACAAAGAAAAAATTCACAATCTTTCTTCTAAGGAAACAGTTTTTGATCATCCTTTTATCAAATTATTTAAAACGAGCAATGTAAAATAAATGATAGTGGGTCTGCTATGGGGGCATGTTCAAGTGGTAGTTGGGAAAATTGGAAATAATGGTGGTGAGAAGGTGCAATGGTGGTGGACTGGTGTTGGAATATTAAATGTCTGTAACTAATGACTAAAAATCTGTTTTTTTTTTAAATTTTGCTTTTTGGGTCACACCCGGCGAGGCACAGGGGTTACTCCTCGCTCTGCACTCAGGAGTTACTCCTGGCGGTGCTCAGCGGACCATATGGGATGCTGGGAATCGAACCTGGGTCGGCCCCATGCAAGGCAAACGCCCTGCCCGCTGTGTTATCTCTGCAGCCCCTAAAAATCACGGATTTAGGATTTAGTCACGGTCCTCCCGCTATTCATCGCTTTGCTCGAGCGGGCCCAGTAGCGTCTCCATCGGAGACTTTGTTGTTACTGTGTCTGGCATATCGAATACGTCACGGGGAGCTTGCCAGGCTCTGCCGTGCAGGCGAGATACTCTCGGCAGCTTGCCGGGCTCTCCGAGAGGGGCGGAGGAATCGAACTCGGGTCGGCCATATTGGCCGCTTGCAAGGCGAACGCCTTACTGCTGTGCTATCTCTCCAGCCCCTAAAAATCATTTTAAATTATTTTTTTAAAAAAATATACTATCAAGTTACACTGTATGCAGAGATTCAAGATAGGAGATTTAGTCTTTTTTTAAGTGAATTTTCATAAATTATCTTCTTCAGCAGGGAAGCTGCTGGCTTACTCTGGATTCAGCATCTCACGCAGACAGCAATTCAAAGCTACAGAAAAATCTGGAACGAACTCTGAAATATAGTTTTAAAATACATTTTAAAATATTTTAAAACTTCGGGGCCAGATAGATAGCACAGCAGGTTAGGCACTTGCCTTGCACACAGTTGATTAGGGTTGGATCCCTGACACCCCATATGGTCCCTAAAACCCAACAGGAAGGATCCTTGAGCACAGAGATAGGAGCAAGCCCTGAGCACAGCTGGGTGTGGCTCCAACCCTCACCCCTGCTAAAAATGTATTTTTTAAAGGATCGGTTCCAGAGTAACACCTGAATATCTCTGGGTGTGCTCCTACTCCCCCAAACTAAAGAAACAAGCCATAGAGAGTTTAAAAATAAAAGCCTTCTGATTTTTTAAAAATCAATTAAAAAACTGAATTAAAAATATTAAAATCCTAGAGCTAAGAAAATAGCTCAAATAAAAGCACATGCCTAACATGTCAGATCCTGTACCATGAATACCACTGAAAGTATCCCCAACACTACCAGTTTTGGGCCTTATTTTAAAATATATACATATATAACATACATAAAAAAACAAAGCTCAAGATTGGAAGAATTCAAGCTGCAATTTAATAGTTTCTAAATCTAAAAATTTGTAGCACTCATTTTACAAAAACACTTTCAGTCCTAGAATTACAAATTACTGATTCCATGCAACTTTTATAATTCAATTCACCATTAGGAAGGAAATGTTTTCCATGGCTAAGTATTTTTTGAGACATAAATAACAAAGAATTTGTTTTAGGTGTTCAACATGACTTGACATACATATACATACATATATGTATGTATATAAACTGCAAAATGCTGATCACAGCAATTTAACATTCATTGTCACAGTTTTCATTTTCTTCTTATAAGAATGTTTAAGATGTACAACTTTTAGTAACTGAAAGTAAAACTTAAATAAGAATGCTTTCATATCATGATATGATAAAAAATGTAAAACCAACAGAATCTATCACTAACGTCTTAATAATGGCACCCAGTTGTTGATACAGGACTGCTAGTTAAAGAAGTAAAGGATGTATTTCAGTGGGAGAGCACATGCTTCACATGTATGTGGTCCTGGGATCAATTCCCTGCACCATAAGACTAGAAATTGAAAATTTAAAAACTTACCCATATTGTGGTGCTCCCGTTATAATGTCTCCGATAGTGACATGAACATCATCCTCATCATCATCACTGTCACTATCATATTCAGTTTCAGTCACTTTCTGTACCAACATAAACAGTAATAAAATAGATTCAATAATGCACCTTCAACATGAATAACTGAAACAGTAACCAATTTGTTTCATTTATGGGTTTAGAGTTATGAAACCAATGTTTCCATTTCTTCTTTGTAAATTTAATGTTTTAAAAACTAAAAAAAAGTGATAGAAATGTGAAAAGAGGCTGTCAAGAAGTTTTTGTATGACAAACTAATGTATCTTTATGCGTAAAGCTTTCTCTCTTGCAAAAAGGATCTAAGGGAATGTGCTAAGATATCCAGCAGATAGAACCATAAAAAGTAGGCATTGGAAGAACTTTTGGCAAAAGGAATGTGAAGATAAGAGTGAAAAATTAATTATGGAGCTGGAGCCATAGCATTGCAGGGAGGGCATTTGCCTTGCGCACGGCTGACCCTGGACTCGATTACCAGCATCCCATATGGTCCCAGAGCACTGCCAGGAATAATTCCTGAGTGCAGAGCCAGTGCATCAGCAGGTGTGCCCCGAAAAGAAAAAAAAATTAATCATACTAGGCACAGTGTTAGGTTAAAAAGCAACAAAATGTTACCAAAGAGCTCACCAGTCATGGCATTCATTTATATCTTAGAAGAGGTCTTGCCACAAAATGACCGGGAATATATTTTATCTGAAAAACGAAAAAACATCAGCATACTTAGGAAATCTCTTAGGAAAGTGTTATTCTGGCTCTAAACAGCTATTTTGTCCATAGTATCCTTTTGGTTAACTTTAAGAAAAAGGACCATTTAAACCAGTATTTATGAATAAGAGACGGTATGAGACCAGGATGTTCCAAGGGGCAACGGCAGAATTCCCATGGGTGGGAGAAAGCAGGAGACTAGAGGACCATTAGCAGGAGAGGGCAGGCCACCAGGCCACACGTGGAAAAAAAGGCTGGAAGGGGCCAGAGTCTGAAAAAGACGGAAAAACATGAACCTGGGAACAACATTTTTACCAGGACAAGTTTAATCCTGCAGAGTACCAATCTCTTTCTTTCATAGAAATAACTGAATATATTAAAATCTTCAAAAGACCATGGTAAATTAATCCTGCAAAACATCACTTTGAAGGTGAATGAGGTCAGAGACCAACATACAAAATAACATCTTGCTTAAAAACAAAACCAAAAAAGCCAATTATTTCTTAAAAGAACTGTGATCATCTAACAGGTTCAGAACTCAAATGAAAGCAATAAACCTCCGGACACACTCTATTTCATCTGAACACCTTCCCACTATTTCTTTTCACTGTGCATCAAATAAAAATACCTGACAGCGAGATTGTGCAGGATACTCCAAAGTCTAGCTGAATGTAGACTTTCTTCTTAGCTAGAAATCTACAGATTTTAAATACGGAAGCGACTGAATTCCAAAGCCTTATGTTACTGGCTTAGGAACACCATTTTCAGCAGCTTCCTCCTCAATCCCAGATGGAGGACTGGCACTACAAATAAAAACAAGTACACGTGTCTGTGTTACTTTCGGGCAAGTGCCCGACTGTCGGGCAAGGGGCGCCCTTTTCCGCAGGTGCGTCCACGCGCACTGGCCCCCGGGAAAGGAGCCGTTGGCGGGGCGGGGGCGGCGCCGTCCCCGGGGCGATGGGCGAAGCGCTGAGGACGGGAGGGCGGTGCGGGCAGCTCGGAGGCCGGGAGGGCGTCCCGGCCGGGGGCCGCGAGGACAGAGCGAGGCTTCGCGGGAGGAGCGCCGGGGAGCACCGGGCGGCAGGTACCGGCGGCGGCAGCGGGGGCGGCGGCGGCAGGCACGTGGTGAGGCGCGCGCAGCGCGGCTTATCGCACGCGCAGCGGCGACCCAGCGGCGCGGCGGCGGCGACCTGAGCCTGACTGCGCCTGCGCGCGGCCGAGGCCCCGCCCCCAAGAGATCCCGCCCCGCCTCGCAGCGAGGCTTTCTCGCCCGCTGAAAAGGAAAGAAAGAAAAGGAAAGAAAGGAAAGAAAGAAAAGGAAAGGAAAGAAAAGGAAAGAAAAGGAAAGAAAGGGAAGAAAGGAAAAGAATGAAAAGGAAAGAAAGGAAAGAAAAGGAAAGGAAAGAAAAGGAAAGAAAAGGAAAGAAAGGAAAGAAAAGGAAAGAAAAGGAAAGAAAGGAAAGAGAGAAAAGGAAAGAAAGAAAAGGTCAAAAGGAAGCCCCCATGAGCAAAGCAAGAGGGATTTGCAGAGGGCGGGTGGGGGGGAGGCGCAGCTGACGCGGTCGCGGGCGAGAAAGCCTCGCTGCGGGGCGGGATCTCTTGGGGGCGGGGCCTTGGTCGCGCGCAGGCGCAGTCAGGCTCAGGTGGCCGCCTCCGCGCCACTGGGTCGCCGCTGCGCGTGCGCAAAAGCTGCGCTGCACGCGCCGAACCAGGTCCCCGCTGCCGCCGCCGCCCCGGCATGTGGGAGCCCCATCACCCCACATGGTCCCCAACGCCCGCCAAGAGTGGTTCCACGCAGGCAGAGTGTGGCCCCAAAACTAAACTTCATAAAGCAATTCTGGGGGGCTGGAGTGAGAGCACAGTGGGGAGGGCGTTTCCCTTGCACGTGGCTGACCCGAGTTCGATTCCCAGCATCCCACAGGGTCCCCCGAGCACCGCCGGGTAATTCCCGAGCGCAGAGCCGGGAGGAAGCCCTGAGCGTCGCCGGGTGTGACCCCCCAAAAAGCAAAATAAACTAAGTAATTCTGACAGTGCGGATTAACCGGACCGTCCGGAAAGGAGCCGTTGGCGGGGTGGGGGCGGCGCCGTCCCCGGGGCGATGGGCGAAGCGCTGAGGACGGGAGGGCGGTGCGGGCAGCTGGGAGGCCGGGGAGGGCGTCCCGCAGCCGGGGGACAAGAGGACAGAGCGAGGCGCCGCAGGAGGGGCGCCGGGGAGCACCGGGCGGCAGGTACCGGCGGCGGCAGCGGGGGCGGCGGCGGGGGCGGCGGCGGGGGCGGCAGCGGGGGCGGCAGCAGGCACGTGGTTAGGCGCGCGCGGCGCGGCTTGTGCGCACGCGCAGCGGCGACCCAGCGGCGCGGTGGCGGCGACCTGAGCCTGACTGCGCCTGCGCGCGGCCCAGGCCCCGCCCCCAAGACATCCCGCCCCGCCTCGCAGCGAGGCTTTCTCGCCCGCGTCCGCTGCGCCTCCCCCCCCACCCGCCCTCTGCAAATCCCTCTTGCTTTGTCCATGGGGGCTTCCTTTTTACCTTTTCTTTCTTTCCTTTTCTCTCTTTCTTTCCTTTTCTTTCTTTTCCTTTCTTTCCTTTCTTTCCTTTTCTTTCCTTTTCTTTCTTTCCTTTCTTTCCTTTTCTTTCTTTTCCTTTCTTCCCTTTCTTTCCTTTTCTTTCCTTTTCTTTCCTTTCCTTTTCTTTCTTTCCTTTCTTTCCTTTTCTTTCTTTCCTTTTCAGCGGGCGAGAAAGCCTCCCTGCGAGGCGGGGCGGGGCCTGGGCCGCGCGCAGGCGCAGTCAGGCTCAGGTCGCTGCCACCGCGCCGCTGGGTCGCCGCTGCGCGTGCGCACAAGCCGCGCCGCGCGCGCCTAACCACGTGCCTGCCACCGCCCCCGCTGCCGCCCCCGCCGCCGCCCCCGCCGCCGCCCCCGCTGCCGCCCCCGCCCCCGCTGCCGCCCCCGCCGACGCCGCCGCCCCCGCTGCCGCCCCCGCCGCCGCCCCCGCCGCCGCCCCCGCTGCCGCCGCCGGTACCTGCCGCTGATGCTCCCCGGCGCCCCTCCCGCGGCGCCTCGCTCTGTCCTCGCGGCCCCCGGCCGGGACGCCCTCCCCGGCCTCCGAGCTGCCCGCACCGCCCTCCCGTCCTCAGCGCTTCGCCCCGCGCCCCGGGAACGGCGCCGCCCCCGCCCCGCCAACGGCTCCTTTCCGGAGGGCCAGTGCGCGTGGACGCACCTGCGGAAAAGGGCGCCTCTTGCCCGACAGTCGGGCACTTGCCCGAAAGTAACACAGACACGTGTACTTGTTTTTATTTGTAGTGCCAGTCCTCCATCTGGGATTGAGGAGGAAGCTGCTGAAAATGGTGTTCCTAAACCAGTAACATAAGGCTTTGGAATTCAGTCGCTTCCGTATTTAAAATCTGTAGATTTCTAGCTAAGAAGAAAGTCTACATTCAGCTAGACTTTGGAGTATCCTGCACAATCTCGCTGTCAGGTATTTTTATTTGATGCACAGTGAAAAGAAATAGTGGGAAGGTGTTCAGATGAAATAGAGTGTGTGCAGAGATTTATTGCTTTCATTTGAGTTCTGAACCTGTTAGATGATCACAGTTCTTTTAAGAAATATTTGGCTTTTTTGGTTTTGTTTTTAAGCAAGGTGCTATTTTGTACGTTGGTCTCTGACCTCATTCACCTTCAAAGTGATGTTTTGCAGGATTATTTTACCATGGTCTTTTGAAGATTTTAATATATTCAATTATTTCTGTGAAAGAAAGAGATTGGTACTCTGCAGGATTAAACTTGTCCTGGTAAAAATGTTGTTCCCAGGTTCATGGTTTTCCGTCTTTTTCAGACTCTGGCCCCTTCCAGCCTTTTTTTCCACGTGTGGCCTGGTGGCCTGCCCTCTCCTGCTAATGGTCCTCTAGTCTCCTGCTTTCTCCCACCCATGGGAATTCTGCCGTTGCCCCTTGGAACATCCTGGTCTCATACCGTCTCTTATTGATAAATACTGGTTTAAATGGTCCTTTTTTTTAAAGTTAACCAAAAGGATACTATGGACAAAATAGCTGTTTAGAGCCAGAATAACACTTTCCTAAGAGATTTCCTAAGTATGCTGATGTTTTTTCGTTTTTCAGATAAAATATATTCCCGGTCATTTTGTGGCAAGACCTCTTCTAAGATATAAATGAATGCCATGACTGGTGAGCTCTTTGGTAACATTTTGTTGCTTTTTAACCTAACACTGTGCCTAGTATGATTAATTTTTTTTTCTTTTCGGGGCACACCTGCTGATGCACTGGCTCTGCACTCAGGAATTATTCCTGGCAGTGCTCTGGGACCATATGGGATGCTGGTAATCGAGTCCAGGGTCAGCCGTGCGCAAGGCAAATGCCCTCCCTGCAATGCTATGGCTCCAGCTCCATAATTAATTTTTCACTCTTATCTTCACATTCCTTTTGCCAAAAGTTCTTCCAATGCCTACTTTTTATGGTTCTATCTGCTGGATATCTTAGCACATTCCCTTAGATCCTTTTTGCAAGAGAGAAAGCTTTACGCATAAAGATACATTAGTTTGTCATACAAAAACTTCTTGACAGCCTCTTTTCACATTTCTATCACTTTTTTTTAGTTTTTAAAACATTAAATTTACAAAGAAGAAATGGAAACATTGGTTTCATAACTCTAAACCCATAGATGAAACAAATTGGTTACTGTTTCAGTTATTCATGTTGAAGGTGCATTATTGAATCTATTTTATTACTGTTTATGTTGGTACAGAAAGTGACTGAAACTGAATATGATAGTGACAGTGATGATGATGAGGATGATGTTCATGTCACTATCGGAGACATTATAACGGGAGCACCACAATATGGGTAAGTTTTTAAATTTTCAATTTCTAGTCTTATGGTGCAGGGAATTGATCCCAGGACCACATACATGTGAAGCATGTGCTCTCCCACTGAAATACATCCTTTACTTCTTTAACTAGCAGTCCTGTATCAAAAACTGGGTGCCATTATTAAGACGTTAGTGATAGATTCTGTTGGTTTTACATTTTTTATCATATCATGATATGAAAGCATTCTTATTTAAGTTTTACTTTCAGTTGCTAAAAGTTGTACATCTTAAACATTCTTATAAGAAGAAAATGAAAACTGTGACGATGAATGTTAAATTGCTGTGATCAGCATTTTGCAGTTTATATACATACATATATGTATGTATATGTATGTCAAGTCATGTTGAACACCTAAAACAAATTCTTTGTTATTTATGTCTCAAAAAATACTTAGCCATGGAAAACATTTCCTTCCTAATGGTGAATTGAATTATAAAAGTTGCATGGAATCAGTAATTTGTAATTCTAGGACTGAAAGTGTTTTTGTAAAATGAGTGCTACAAATTTTTAGATTTAGAAACTATTAAATTGCAGCTTGTATTCTTCCAATCTTGAGCTTTGTTTTTTTATGTATGTTATATATGTATATATTTTAAAATAAGGCCCAAAACTGGTAGTGTTGGGGATACTTTCAGTGGTATTCATGGTACAGGATCTGACATGTTAGGCATGTGCTTTTATTTGAGCTATTTTCTTAGCTCTAGGATTTTAATATTTTTAATTCAGTTTTTTAATTGATTTTTAAAAAATCAGAAGGCTTTTATTTTTAAACTCTCTATGGCTTGTTTCTTTAGTTTGGGGGAGTAGGAGCACACCCAGAGATATTCAGGTGTTACTCTGGAACCGATCCTTTAAAAAATACATTTTTAGCAGGGGTGAGGGTTGGAGCCACACCCAGCTGTGCTCAGGGCTTGCTCCTATCTCTGTGCTCAAGGATCCTTCCTGTTGGGTTTTAGCGACCATATGGGGTGTCAGGGATCCAACCCTAATCAACTGTGTGCAAGGCAAGTGCCTAACCTGCTGTGCTATCTATCTGGCCCCGAAGTTTTAAAATATTTTAAAATGTATTTTAAAACTATATTTCAGAGTTCGTTCCAGATTTTTCTGTAGCTTTGAATTGCTGTCTGCGTGAGATGCTGAATCCAGAGTAAGCCAGCAGCTTCCCTGCTGAAGAAGATAATTTATGAAAATTCACTTAAAAAAAGACTAAATCTCCTATCTTGAATCTCTGCATACAGTGTAACTTGATAGTATATTTTTTTTAAAAAATAATTTAAAATGATTTTTAGGGGCTGGAGAGATAGCACAGCAGTAAGGCGTTCGCCTTACAAGCGGCCAACATGGCCGACCCGAGTTCGATTCCTCCGCCCCTCTCGGAGAGCCCGGCAAGCTGCCGAGAGTATCTCGCCTGCACGGCAGAGCCTGGCAAGCTCCCCGTGACGTATTCGATATGCCAGACACAGTAACAACAAAGTCTCCGATGGAGACGCTACTGGGCCCGCTCGAGCAAAGCGATGAATAGCGGGAGGACCGTGACTAAATCCTAAATCCGTGATTTTTAGGGGCTGCAGAGATAACACAGCGGGCAGGGCGTTTGCCTTGCATGGGGCCGACCCAGGTTCGATTCCCAGCATCCCATATGGTCCGCTGAGCACCGCCAGGAGTAACTCCTGAGTGCAGAGCCAGGAGTAACCCCTGTGCCTCGCCGGGTGTGACCCAAAAAGCAAAATTAAAAAAAAAAAACAGTTTTTTAGTCATTAGTTACAGACATTTAATATTCCAACACCAGTCCACCACCATTGCACCTTCTCACCACCATTATTTCCAATTTTCCCAACTACCACTTGAACATGCCCCCATAGCAGACCCACTATCATTTATTTTACATTGCTCGTTATAAATAATTTGATGAAAGGATGATCAAAAACTGTTTCCTTAGAAGAAAGATTGTGAATTTTTTCTTTGTTTGCTTTTTTGCTCCAGCCCCGGTAGTGAAGATTCTTCTATCTCACCATGGAGCCCTTAAACCTTGTGTAAGAGATTACTAAGACGTTACAGGTAAAGCCTTCTGTGTATAGATTTTGTCAATTGAAATTGGTTGCCTTTCATATTACATACCATCCAGTCCTGTGTGCTACTTCTGGCTTAACAGTGTTACAGAGTTAGAGATGTTGCGTAGCCAGAATTGCATCCACACACTCCAGGGTGTCCAAAAGTGTTGACGGAGTAACAGATGGAGTGAAATTCTTAACTGGTGGCTTTGGGGCATAGGCCTGACGGCTGGGCTTCCAGAAGCACAGAGGGTAGTCTGTGCCCGATCTCCGAAAGCTGATTGTGGAATGTGGAGGTTTTTGGCTGCTGGCACTCTGTTTGGGTGGACGTGGGGATTCACCCGTTCCTCTCTGGGTTGCCTCTGGATGACTCAGCCTTGTGCAGGATCCGAGAGAAATTCTTGATCTCTTTCAAGATTTATTTCTAAGTTTGTTATTCTAATTTATTCTGGATCATGGCCTGTGAGAGAGCTCACATGGCGCTGGAGGTGTTCCTTCCGGGCTTCCAGAAGAACAGGGATACATGGAGGGAGGGAACCCTCCCTGACCTCATGAAAGCTGGAGATTTCAATCACAAAACCTGCATGCTGGAGTTTTTCAAAATTAATTTCTGGATGAGACTTATCCGGATAGTGGAATTCGGCCAGGAGCAAACTGATGATTGTGAAACATCCAAAAAATTTTGAAAAGAATTATCAGGAGGGGATGAGTGAAAATGACCATGAAAAAGAGCTGTGGAGAGACAGTTTTTGTGGATGAAAGTTGCAGAGTTGGGCTGTAGAGGGTGGAGAGGTAAGTGGAAAGTGAGGGAGGGGT